AATATTACATCTCACTGGTTATAATTTAGCTAGGTAAAGGACATTTGTGAATTTTGTCAACTTCAGCTGGCATAAGAAGTAGTGTAAGTTGCGCCAAAGTAGAACTGTCTATGTGATGTAACCTAGGACATACGTGGTGCATCATTGTGGCCGAACATTTCAATACATGTGCTGAACTTTCAACTGGGAAAGTTTCGTACATTTCGCTTTCCTACATATATTGTAACCACAGACGCAGAGATTTCTTGTTTGTTGAAGACACCACACCACTGCTCTAACGCTGCTGCGCGATGTCTTGTGTTACTACTAATGATCCATTTTGCAAATGTGTCAAGACATGCACTGAACTTCCTTCTTAAGCTCGATCATGAGTGCTTAACGCGAGGATCACTTTGTAAAACAGGTCCTGGTCTATATATATAACGTCAACCCTCCATCTCCACCCTGCTGTATTCACGTGTGTTCATGTAAACCTCTAAAGCAACTTACTGCTTTTGGTGAGTGAGTGTCTTTACATAATCGTAAACCTCTATATCGAGCCTCTGCCTTGAGTAAGTGAATGAGTGAAGGTGTCGGCGTGTTTACATCCATATAGCTACACCGTAAACCTCTATATCGAGCCACTGCCTTGAGTGACTGAGTGAGTGTGTGTCGATGTGTTTACATCCATATAGCTACACCGTAAAGCTCTATATCGATCCACTTCCTTGAGTAAGTGAGTGAGTTAGTGTCGGCGTGTTTACATCCATATAGCTTCACCGTACACCTCTATATCGATCCACTGCCTTGAGTGACTGAGTGAGTGTGTGTCGGTGTGTTTACATCCATATAGCTACACCGTAAAGCTCTATATCGATCCACTGCCTTGAGTGACTGAGTGAGTGTGTGAGTGAGTGTCGATGTGTTTACATCGATATAGCTACACCGTACACCTCTATATCGATCCACTGCCTTGAGTGAGTGATTGAGCGAGTGAATATTTGTCGGCGTGTTTACATCCATATAGTTACACCGTAAACCTGTATATTGATCCACTGCCTTGAGTGAGTGGGTGAGTGGGTGTCGGTGTGTTTACATCCGTATAGTTACACCGTACACCTCTATATCGATCCACTGCCTTGAGTGAGCGAGTGAGTGAGTGAGTGAGTGTCGATGTGTTTACATCGATATAGCTACACCGTACACCTCTATATCGATCCACTGCCTTGAGTGACTGAGTGAGTGAGTGTTTGTCGGTGTGTTTACATCCATATAGCGACACCGTAAACCTGTATATTGATCCAGTGCCTTGAGTGAGTGGGTGAGTGTGTGTCGGTGTGTTTACATCCATATAGTTACACCGTACACCTCTATATCGATCCACCGCCTTGAGTGAGCGAGTGAGTGAGTGAGTGAGTGTGTGTGTGTCGGTGTGTTTACATCCATATAGCTGCACCATAAACCTCTATATTGATCCAGTGCCTTGAGTGAGCGAGTGAATGTGTGTCGGTGTTTACATGCATATAGTTACACCGTAAACCTCTATATCGATCCACTGCCTTGAGTGCGTGAGTAAGTGAGTGAGTGTGTGTCGGCGTGTTTATATTAGCCATATAGCTACACCGTACATGTACACCTCTATGTCAATCCACTGCCTTGAGTGAGTGGGTGAGTGTGTGTCGGTGTGTTTACATCCATTTTGCTACACCGTAAACCTCTATATCGATCTACTGCCTTGATTAAGTGAGTGAGTGTGTGTCGGTGTGTTTACATTGATATAGCTACACCGTAAACCTCTTTATCGATCCATCGCCTTAAGTGAGTGGGTAAGTGAGTGTGCGTGTCGGCATATTTATATCCATATAGATACACTGTAAACCTCTATATCGATCCACTGCCTTGAGTGCGTGAGTAAGTGAGTGAGTGTGTGTCGGCGTGTTTATATTAGCCATATAGCTACACCGTACATGTACACCTCTATGTCAATCCACTGCCTTGAGTGAGTGGGTGAGTGTGTGTCGGTGTGTTTACATCCATTTTGCTACACCGTAAACCTCTATATCGATCTACTGCCTTGATTAAGTGAGTGAGTGTGTGTCGGTGTGTTTACATTGATATAGCTACACCGTAAACCTCTTTATCGATCCATCGCCTTAAGTGAGTGGGTAAGTGAGTGTGCGTGTCGGCATATTTATATCCATATAGATACACTGTAAACCTCTATATCGATCCACTGCCTTGTGTGCGTGAGTAAGTGAGTGAGTGTGTGTCGGCGTGTTTATATTATCCATATAGCTACACCGTACACCTCTATGTCAATCCACTGCCTTGAGTGAGTGGGTGAGTGTGTGTCGGCGTGTTTACATCCATTTTGCTACACCGTAAACCTCTATATCGTTCAACTGCCTTGAGTGAGTGAGTGAGTGTGTGTGTCGGCGTGTTTACAGCCACATGACGATACCTGCGGAGACCAGGCTCTTTTATCTATATACAGTAAACCCTTATTACTCCGGACGACGTCCCGTTGTCAATCAATCTTTATTTCGTACTCAAGAGGCCACAGGCCTTTCGTACACAATACAATTCAACATAATTAATCATTACAATTGAACATCAAATTGAAATAAATTATCTCCCACATATATACATCATGACAACCATAAATAGGCTTATTTTATTCTGGCATAGAAATAATTTAATTTACAGTGAACAATTTCATTTCTCTGGGCAAAAGCATGGTGAATAAATATTCTTTACAACCTCTGTTCTCTCACATATTAATAAAATTTACATATGTTTTGTTCACTGTAATAGTATTTTGGTAAGTATTTTATTCTTAGTTCTAAATATAATGGACATCTGATAAGGAAGTGATACTCGTCTTCTATTTCATTTAAGTTACACATGTTACATTTTCTTTGTTCTCGTGGGGTATTTATATATCTGCATGTTTCAATATGTAGATCATGCGACATGCAACGAAACCGTGCCAATGCTTTTCTATATTTTGGTATGGTAATATCAACGAGATAGCATTCTCTATAAATGTAAGATTTAAAAAGTTTATGATAAAAGCGTTTATTTGATACTGCTAATGAAACATTCCATGATTGTAAAAAAATATCTTTTAGTCTTTGTTTTAGTGTCTGGATAAACTCAGCAGTATTATTGACCCGTTGATCATACCAAACATTACCAAAACCAGATTCAAATAAGAGTTCACTAACACCAGTTGCCCAGTTTCTTTTACCATTTGAATCAAACAACAATAACATATTATAACACTTTTTTGGAAATCTATTCAAAAGCATATTTAAAATTCGTAACAATATTTGATAACTTTAATATATGGAAAAATATACAGTGGATAGCGACCACAATCACCATAAACCATAACCCGGGTGTATTAACTTTCACACCTAAATATTTCTTACATGCATACATAAAAAGTGCAATATCGTCTGCAAACAAAAGTAAAAACAATTATATTTCTTCTGGGTGTAGTTGAATTCCATAGGAACAATTATTATATATTTGCATTGCAAATTCATTGATGAAAAACGAAAACAGGAACGGGCTTAAGATACAACCCTGTCGTACTCCTAAATGACTTGAACATGTAGGAGAAATAACTTGGTTATTTCTAACAGAGACTTTTATATTTTCATAAATGCTACATAACAATGTATTCATTTTAGAACTTAATCCAGAGTTTTAAAAAGATTACAAAGTTTATTCCTCTGCACAGTCTACAAAAACTACATAAAACTTTCCACACTTATTATTAAGGTATCTTTGTATTAAACAATGTAATATAAATATGTTGTCCACGGTACTATATCCTTCTGTGAATCCAGCTTGTGACTCAAATATTTTGTTCATTGTACTAGCCCAATACACTAATCTTTTATTAATAATAAAAGTAAATATCTTGGTAAAAATGCTCAAAAGAGTTATATCCCTATTATTATCAGTGTTGTTTATATCCCCGCTCTTATGGAGAGGTACAATTATTCCCAACGACCATTAAATCGAAAAAGTTCCGTTTTCTAAAATGACATTAAATATTAGTTCAAGACATGGTACTAACAGGTCTGCTGAATGTTTGAAAAAATCAGGCATTAAATTTTCAATGCCAGATGATTTATTGCACTTAAGTTGTCGGATGCTTTCTAAAATTTCTTCTCTCGTAATTGGGGAATCAAGGATATCAGCTACAATTTCATCAGTTCGTCGTTGTTATCAGCCTCATTTACATTATCATTACATTCTAAAAATGACGCTTTCTCATTCTGATGTGACATATCATACACATGTCATCAATACTTATGTTATTCGTGTTTTCTGTGTCTTTTGTTCATGCTTAATTCTGACCAAAGCAGTTTTGAATTATTTATGTTTTTCTCTAACCTTTGTTTCCTCTCCATTACATATTTATTTTGTTTATATTTACAGATAGCAGTATATTTGTTTCCAGCGGCATGATATTCTTTTAGGTTACTTTCATTTTTGCCATTTCTGAATCTATTTAAATATTTACATCTGTCTTTTTTAAGGATTTCGCACTCGTTATCAAACTTTTCGTTTCATATCACTAGCGGCTACACATAGAGGCTCTTATATCTGTATACAGTAAACCCCTATTACCCCGGACGACGCCCTGTTGAGTAGTGCAGATTATCAAATGCCCTGCTCCAGCAGTGATGGGAGTTTCGAGGCCAGATCCAAAGCTTCGGTGTATTCAATGTTGAGGGTGGTCTTTGATTAGCAAACAACATATGTTCTGGCCTTCTAGACACCGCGTCTAGAACGGAATCAACGTACGTTGGATGACGCGTAATTATTTAGATTAACTCTGAGGCAATTAATTTGATATACAATCAGTGCAAAGAGACCTCAAATTGCTCCAAGTCAACAGCTGGCCAATGAGTTGTGGTATCACTGAGCTGTAATCCAATGAAATTGCATGTTCCCCACTGCAATACTATATAAGTGGAACGAGGCCACAGAAGAGCATGAATCACTGATTCGTTCATCAACCGCCTTCACTATGAATTATTCAGGAATTTTTGTCATTCTTGTTATTGTCAACATGGCTGATGCCTCGTTTTCGCGTTCAAGTGTCTACTGTGAGTATCATTCAGTAAAATAATGAGAGGGTGAATGTTATATTTGGCCTCCCTATAGAAGTGTCCCAGTGTTAACCATTTCCTACGTCCATCGTACGCTGATAGCAACAGTGGAACATTTCTCTAAGCCACGTTTATACAAAAACACGTTCACATCTCACAAGGCTGGTCTGCATCCGTCACTCTCCGGTGTTTGTAGCAATGTATGTTCAAGTATTTCTTCACATGATTGTGGGGCGGTTGGGTAGTCTAGTGTTAAAAGCGTTCGCTTGTCACGCCGAAGACCCGGGTTCGATTCCCCACATGAGTGCATCGTGTGAAGATCATTGCTGGTGTCCCTCGCTGTGATATTGCTGGAATTTTGCTAAAAGCGGCGTAAAACCATACTGACTCACTCTTTTACAGTTGTATACTGGTTTCCATATATCCAATTTCACGGGACTATTTTATGTTCAGTGTTATGTAATATAACGGATCACATAATTTAAAACCTTATTGTATAAGGGTACGTAACTCTATTTTCATTTTACCAAACTGGATTTTCTACCCCTTTATTTTACAGAATAAAGATTGTTACATTTTAAGGGACGGTGGGTTAGCCAACTGGTTAAAGCGTTAACTCGTCAAGCCGAAGACCACCGCCATGACAATCGTGCAATATTGCTAATATTTGCATTAAACCCAACTCGCTTACTCTCTTTAGAAGCGTACTAGTCCGCATGTAGGCTCTGTAAAAAAAGAAACGCAAAATTGATTTTAGATGTATATTTTATATAGCATATAAATAATCAACAGATTGTCATCGATTATTCAAAAATACTATACATTATTGTCATGGACCAAGGTTCAATATGGCACTCACGGAATAGTAAATTTACAAGTCATCTGTTCTCAATATCCTGTATGGCCACTATTAGAGTCCAAAACTGACTGTCGTCGTCGTCCCATTGAAGCAATCATCGGGATTTGTCTTGTTGGAAAATGGCGGTCGCTTGTTGAATAATGGGAAGCACGTGTGGCCGAAGAATCTCCTACCTGTAATGTTGTGCTGTTATATTCCCTAGAAGTCAGTTCTACCAGTGTAGGAGATGGCTGCCCACTTCGTCACACTACCACCACCAAATGCGTGCACTTACTGTATGCAGTTTCGGGCACAACGCTCCCCGCGACGCCTGTAAACACGACGTCTACCATCCGCACGGGGAAGCATAAATAGTTACTCGTCACGAAACCAAACTTTTCTCCATCGCAGTTGTGGCCACACCTAGTGACCTAGACACCATTGACACCGCAGCCGACGATGAAGGTCCGTCGGAATGACTCCCGAACTGGTCGTCTAACGCGAATACCTTCAGCGGGTAAACGGTTCCTCACTGTCTGGGCTGATATCCTACGCAATCCTGATATTGCCGTACGTTTAGAGGTGGCCGTGGTGTTTCTATCACGTAAGTGACGTAGCCGTATGAATCTGTCCTGTCCTAATATGTAATAGGTGGTCGGCCGGATCTGGGAAGGTCCTTTGTTGTCCCATGTGTCTGATAACAATTCCGTACTCGTGCAACGGTGCTTGGTGCTACGCGGAAAAACCTGGCTACCGCAAAAGAAAACACAACGTTTCATAGCCAAACAAATGATGTCATGTTGGTGAGTTTCGGCGCTATGCTCTCGCGTGGTTGTGCTTTTGCGATTTTCCCATCAATGCACAACATTTCTGCAGTACCCTATTTTTTTCATAGATATCGATCCCAATCCATTCAGAAATTACCAATTTTTTTTTGGAATTAATTTTGCATAGACGTCGGCAGCACTCTGTCAGATATTAATGACATTACTACTTTTGCCTTTCTTTTTTGGCAGAGCATATATATATCGTTGTTTTCGCTTTGTTTTAGATCGACGAGGAACACGTGGGCAGAGTGGAAATACGGGTAGAACTGGTCCCACGGGGTACACTGGGGCAACAGGCGTCCCAGGGCCAACAGGGGATACTGGAGACACGGGAACAGTGAAAGGTTACACTGGTGCAATGGGTCCCATTGGTGAAGGTGGGAACACGGGTTCAAACGGCGCTGCTGGTGACAAAGGATACACGGGATTAAAAGGATACACCGGCGAAACCGGAGCGCAAGGGATCACTGGCATGACTGGGGTGGTTGGTATACCGGGTGATAGAGGTGCTCGTGGACAGAATGGCGAGAAAGGGCCTTCAGGTAATCAAGGATCTAAAGGAACCTATGGTATTCCCGGGTCTACCGGCACAAGAGGAGTTACTGGATATACGGGTAACACAGGAAATACTGGAGATACTGGAAGCCAAGGGCAGATGGGCTCAACTGGAAATACGGGAAGTACAGGTGTCGTGGGTAGCGGTGGAGTCGAAGGAACACAAGGCGATACAGGACCTCGTGGGGACCAAGGAAATCAAGGGACTACTGGGGGACAAGGGATGACTGGTGGTACTGGCGGAACGGGGGCCACCGGAACAAAAGGTGTCGAGGGGACAAAAGGCGTGATAGGCACCAAGGGAGTGTCTGGTACTCAAGGAATTCAAGGAACACAGGGGGAAATAGGAACCCGGGGACCGATAGGAAACACAGGCTCTACAGGGGAGACAGGGAACACTGGGGCAACAGGATCCACTGGCCAAACTGGCCCAAGTGGGCCTGGTCTGAGTCAGTTCTGCAACTGGGCGGCGAGAAACTTTAACGTCGGCCAACGAGTCAGGGATGTGTGCGGCTCACTTGGATTCACAGGTATGTTGTTATTACCCGGGATTGGAGTGACGTTTTAATTTATTGTACATTTGGTCGAGTGGGAAACATTTCTTTTGAAAGCATGAATCGTTTCATTTTATCCCCTCTTCTAAGAGGATTTTAACACTATTCTAAAAAAAACGCTTAAGGAAAGTTTTGACAGAAATACACTTTAACATAATTGATATTTGGTTGCATTAACTGCAAGATATCGAAGATTCGTTGCCTAACTTTTATTCTTTTATCATTTACAGGCGCCATTCCATAATCACCGTTCGAAAGATTGCAAAACTGTTAACGTATTTTTCTGTGAATAAAATATAATCAATTCTTTAGTATTTGTCCTAATCATTGTGAGGGATCTGGGAAGGTATTAAGAATATGTTTATCCGTCTGTTGGCTGGAGCCATCAGCCCCGTTACTCACAACCAAAGCTTGCAGTCATGCTGTGACTACTTATAGCTTTACGAAACATGTCTCACCTGGCTAACTCACTAAAATTTGGAAAGATAATTATTATTTTTTAATTTACCTTCTTAACATTGCCAGTGAATTGACCATGTTCATATTTTTTGGAATTTCACCTGACTGTGCTATGGCCCAGAGACTGACCTGTGGGTGCGTGGATGGCCGAGTCACTTAAGCGTCATTGTACATATTGCTGTGGATTCGAATCTCGGTTCGACCTGATAACGTTTCTGGGTTTCTTAAAGGTTGTCGCCATAGTGGTAATGTCCTGCATCACTTCTGGCTTTACACCCACAGCAAGATGACACGTGATATAACATGTGTTCAAAGCGGTGTTGCTGTCCAATATATGCGCATCCATGGGTATATGCCATCTTAAATATAAAATTTTCCTCTGATGAACTATTCTCAGACACCCAATAGACCACTCAATAGACCACTCATTCAACTACTCACTCAATCAGCCACTAACTCCATCACCCACTCAACCACTCCCACAACCACTATCGACATTTAACTACTCACTCAATGACTCTCAACATTTAACCACTAAAACCACTAACTCAATCACCCAAACACTCACTCTTCAATCTAAATCACATGTTAGTAGTACATAGTAAACTTTCCAATATATGCGTATCTACAGTCACATGCCATCTCAAGAACTGTTGAGAACAAGAACTGACGACTGACGACATGTACTCACTCGCTCACTCACTCACGAACTAACGAACCCAGTCACTCACCACTCAACCACTCTCATCATCCAGTGACTCAACCACTGACTAAACCACTCACTCATCCAGACACCCATTTATCCAATCGCTCGCAGGCGCAAGGATTGTGTTATTATTTAAGCATGACACTGGTGAGTGCTTGATTCAGATTGGTCAAAATAAAAGTAAAATGAGGTATCAAATTCAATTTGATACCTCAGAAATAAACAAGCCTTTTAACCTATTTGACACAAATAACTTGCGTACGAATAACTCGAACTATCGATAGCATACGTAGTGATGCAAGGCATTAGAAGTGTATACGTTTTGTGGGGACAGATGTTCAATGCCGGGACCAGAGGGAGTGAGTGTATGGCAGCGATGCCTGACTAGAGTGATCTTGAAATGGCAACTGCCACGAAATATCGCAAATACCCCGCCATTCCTGATACATTGCATTCTGGGTCGCAAAAGTTTAGCAAACACAATTGAATTTATCTTAGAATACGCACAAGTATGTAAAACGTACGCTAACTACTGTGTCAGGTTTACAACTACCACAATTGAAACCGGTCGGTGAGCAGTCTCTCTTTTCGTACAATGCCTTCAGTTGAAAAAACTGCGCTGTTCAGCCCTACACCAAGGTGCATCCATCGGGAATAAGGTTAGGGTCCTTTTAGGTTCATCTGGTGTTGAACAAAACAATTTAACACCCGAGACTCTCACAGCCCAGTTGGTCTATATCCTGCGCTTTCGGTTCCCAATTCAATTGAATGCTGTTATCCCTCGCTTTCGGTTCCCAATTCAATTGAGTGCTGTTAACACTATAGGTAGCCCAGCTCCACATTGAAAACACAGTAGGTTTATCTCATAATTCTATCCTGAATTTGGAAAATACTCGAATCCAAATGGATAATCAGAGGTTTCAAATAACACCAACCACACCTGATTTGACGACCGCATCTCTGCAGGGCCTGATATTTATTAAAAAGGAGTTAGTTATTCTTTCTCAGTCATTTTAAATAGACGTTTTGAAGTCAATACCTATTAGGTAGATAACACGACATGAATCGACCAAAGGGGACTTTACTTGGCCAACATAAGTTTGGAAACTGAACATTTCAAGGCCACCTTATCTTCTTCTGTGTTTGTTTGTTTGTTTGTTTGTTTAAAGTTGCACTGAGCAATATTCCAGCTATATGTCGGTGGTCTGTAAATAATCGAATCTGTACCACACAAACAATCCAGTGATTGATATCATGAGCATCCACCCGTGCAGTTGGAATACAATGACATGCGTCAACCAAGTCAGCGAGCCTGACCACCCGATCCGGTTAGTGGCCTCTTACGACAAACATGGGTTGCTTAAGACCAATTCTAACCCGGATTTTCACGGTTGTTTATTTATGTAAAAGAACAATGTTTGAGCACATAAAGCGTCATGAATTGTCAGTGTTTGAAACATTGTTTCTGGTGTTCTGTTGATTGTGATTGTATATTAGAATCATGAATAAAGCGCTCCGTTGTGAAAGTAAAATAAGAGGTATCGATTCTACAGTGGAAGGATCTCAAATTTCAAAACATATTGTTTATCTCCTAATTCTATAACGAATGCTTGAATCTGATTGCTTTAAATGAGACATCAATTTTCCACTTTATTCCTCTAAATTAACACACAAACCGTATGAATACATCGATAGCCACCATTACCGGATGTTGTGACACCCTAGATGGGTTTGATGGTGTTGTTATAAGGTTAAAACGCGTCTCAAAAACATTAGAAAATAGTAACAAATAGTAACTGATAGAGAGTTTGGGTAAGCGTCGTTAAACCAATCACTCCTTAACGGAGCTGAGCCGATGCTGACAAGGCGAGTTGCAAAGTCAAGGCTTATCTGACCATGATGACCAGGAACTGAAATACTTTCAGTAACTGTAGTAGGGTCGCACTGGACACCCGAAAGGAGTTACGACAGTGTCATGACAACTCTTTACGACGGCATAGCGTGCGCATATAAAACCTTTAGGGACACGTTCGGTCATGGTCATATTGAAACAAACGGTAATTAAAGTAAAATAAAACATACTGAATGTGTAACAAACAACTTTATTCATCACAATATATTATTACAAACCTTGATGTGACCTTTATCCATTGATCTTCGACTAGGACGATTTGAGCGTCGATGTAGCAGTACCAAGAGTGAACAATGTCTTTCTTGGGATAATTCGAAAAATTAAAAAAAAGTACTTGTGTTTGACGGAGTGATTCACTATATGCCTGTTTGGGAGGGTGATTGGATGAAAGTCAGAGAGACTGACTCAGTAGATGATCCAATTCGCCTTCAGAATATTTGGTTCAACTTAGCGTTAGTATTAGGCAGGCGTAGTTGAAAGTCAAATGGCCTCACGCCCAATTCTATTAGTTTCGAGGTCGACGATGTAGTGTGTGAGTTCAGCACACACAGTGAGGTGACAGAAAACACTGCAGTGATCTTTTATATTCAAATCAGACCAAACCAAGCATGTATGTGACTAGTTGTGGTTCCTGTCCTGTTGCTTCATAAACAAATTCCAAATTACATTCAGAAACACTGCTCTATTCCTTAGACCACGAAAACTCACAAACAAATCTCCAAACAATCACTGGTATACTGCACAGGCACTTGGTGACAACAGTCGGTTCTCCCAGCAATGAATAGACGCCCGGTAGGACGAGATGCTTGTTAATCTTCTAGTGCCTAACAGGCAGCTTGGGTTGTATACTCGCCAGGGAGTTGAGATTGATTGTTGAGTGCATACTGTTCTAGCGCTTTGAGCATGCCCCTGTGTGGTGTGGAAACCTGCAGACTCATTGCCAGTATATTAACAGGTTACTGTTGAACAGCATAAGAGATCGGGGTTGTCATATGGCTTCATGTAACTTTTTTTTTCTTTCTTTTTAAATCTTTATTCACATTTCAAATAAAATACAAAGTGTAGCATTTCATCAGTTATATATTATTCAAAAACCAATCCCTTTACATCAAACTTTCAAAACCTTTTGCAAATATAGACAATCATAAAATGTGATATCGTACTAGTAGTATTCTTTGCTAGGATTGAAAAGTCTGTGGAATGCAATTAACTTGGTCATATTGTAGTATCTAATAACTTCACGTTGAATATGTTTCAACTTTAGCTGAAAACCCTTTCGTAATTGTTTAAACACAATAAATTTGATAAGTGATATAATTACATTGAGAGAGTTGTTATTCTTCCCCTTAAATCCAAATAAAATATTCTCTTTACAGAAGTCAAGTCTTCCTCCCACAGAAGTCGTTAACCAGTTGAGAACAAGCTCCCAGGTGTGAGCAGCATATTCACAATCATAACATGCATGTACAATAGTTTCACTATATGTACCACAGAAGTTGCAACTTTGTGAATCTTTATATCCAATACAATGTAAGTATTTATTTAAAGGTAATATGTAGTGGATAATCCTAAACTGAAACCATCTCAGTTCTACACTCTGGGTACACCTTGTTGCCATCAAATTAAATATCACGCACTGTTCATCGGTAAACACTTTCTGTAAAGTTTCTTCCCACTTAAGCATTCCCGGAGACTTTATGAAAGCTGGTTGTAAGAGTGTGTTATAGAAGAGTTTACTGCCTTTATTACACCTTGTGATTAGTGAAACATTGTATGGCAAAATAGGTTGAAAAGAGACCCTAGGCATACTCTTAAAGTTACAATTGTTTTTTTCTGGCAAGTTGCATTATTGATTGAACTGTACCCTGATATGTTAGGAAATCTGTTATTATTCCATATCTATCAATAAAAGATTCATAAGAATATATTTCACCCGTTCCATCAAAAAGATCACCAACAAATGTAACTCCCTTACAATACCAAGTCGGATAAAAGATGGACTTTCCTCCTATCTGAATGTTGTTATTAAACCATAAAGCCTGGTTTACAATGTCAATACTACCACTAACATTACTCTTTGTTAAATAATTGCTCCAGGCTTGTAATACATCTTTCCAAAAGGAGTTGTCTACAGCAGGAATAATTTTATCAATAACATATTTAGCGTCTGCCATCCATAATCTGTTAAAGTTTGGAATAGAATTCAATGAGAGTAATACCCATTTTGAGTTACTACAAAGTATTGTTTCACAGTTTTTGTGAATCTATCATATCTATAATAATAGGTACTTTGATCCCCCCAAACTGATATGGCTGTGGCATTACATTTCTTTTAACCTTGTCTGGCCTTCCAAAAGAAAAACATTTTGTTTTGAAAGTTGTCTATTACTTGAACATTGGGGCTAGGTATAGATGTAAACAAATGATTTAATTTTGATAACAACAGTGATTTTAAAACTGTATTTCTACCTGTTGGAGTCAATAATCTTGCTTGGAATACGTTCATTTCCCTTTCATTTTTTTTCAAATTTATCTGTATAGTTTAAGTCAATAATTTCTTCCAAATCAATAGAAAAAATAATTCCCAATAACTTAAACGTTATAGCAGTCCAGTGAAGATTCCACTCTTTACAGAGCTTATATCGTCATCTCTTTTTGGAACCAATCCATATCAATTTGGTTTTGTCAGTGTTAACTTTTAATCCTGAAAACCTAGCAAAAACGTCGAGTGTATTTAACACAGGCCTTGTTCAGATCCATCTAACATCAAAGTCGTATCATCTGCAAATTGTGCAAGTAAATGTTCAGTACTGCCAGTCTTTATTCCCTTAATATTTTTGTTTTTTCTTATCATTATTGCAAGTTTCTCTGCACATATAATAAATATATATGGCGACACTAGATCTCCCTGACGATAACCTCTTGTTATCTTAAAAAAGGGGCTAGCAAAACCATTGACTAATACACTTGATTCAATATCGCTGAGAAATGTTGATCTCCATTTTACTATACTTGGACCAAAGTTGAAAAATTTAAATGTATTCGAAATAAAATGTCTATCAACAGTCAAAAGCTTTTTCAAAGTCAATCAGCATTAGTAATCCAGGTATTTGATATGATTCAGTATATTCCATCAAGTCATATATTGATCTTGTAACTTCCCCAATATATCTTCCCGTGACAAAACCTTTCTGATCATCACTAATAATTATACTTAAAACTTCTTTAATTCTATTTGCGATTACTGCTGACGCTAGTTTATACGAAGTATTCAAGAGAGGTTGGGCGCTAATTTTTTAGGAAAAGTTTCGACTTATTTTCCGTAGGAATACATGACTTGTTATTAATCCCTTTTTTTGTGTTACTGATAAAGATTCGTTTCTATATGCATGATTAACAGACTTAAGCCAAAATTGTCCAATATCATTCCCAAAAAACTTTTAAAAATTCTGTTGTGAAACCATCCGTTTTCACAGGCGTTCTGAAATTTCCAACCCACAGTAGGTTAATCTTCTCAGTAGACGTGTGTGATTGGGGATGCTGCAATCTCCACGTAAGCCCAGTGCTAAACAGATAGATGTTTTAGTTTTCTGTAATATTCCAGCTGAATCCAGGCGGGGCCACACAGAATAGGTTTCACACACCCATGTGGGGAATCAAACCTAGATCTTCTAAGCAATAGGCTTCCCAGCGGCCCTATTTCACCACCCCCGTGGGGATTCCGGGTTAACGTATGCTTGTGGTACGTGTCCACGAATGATCGGTGATTTGTTTGATCCCATAATATCAATCACAGATTTTGATTGGTACAGGTTATTAAAGGAATAATTATACCTCGAATATTACCGAGTGCGGCGTTAAGCAATTAAATAACAGTGAAGGTTTGTTTATTTGTTTGTTGATTAAATATTCCAGCCATCGAATCTGAACCAAACTATCCAGTGATTGACATCATGAGCATCGATCTACGCACTTGGGATACGATGACATGCATCAACCAAGTCAGCGAGCCTGACCACCCGATCCCGTATAAGTCGCCTCTTACGACAAGCACAGTCGCCTTTTACGACAAGCGTAGTCGCCTTTTACGACAAACATGGATCTTCACGGGTCAACAGTGAAGGTAGCGGTAGGCCTTTTGTTGGTAGAGGAGGTAATTGTACGTATGAATTAAGACAGTTTTCAGAAACAAAATATCTTTATTGTCATCTTGTTTATTTTCCGAGGAAGCGTACAGAAGAAATATGATAAATATTGCCAGCATTGGGTTCCTGAAACACAGCAAGAATATTAATATCATTAACACCAGAAGATCGATATGAGAGTGGAAAGTTGTTCGGTATTTTTGCTCTGAACATTTTTAGATGAATCACTTTTAGATGGACGCACTTATGATATATTTAAACCACCGTCTCTCTGTTCCCCGTCCCCATCACATGTATACCAACGAGTTCTATCATATAAGATAGTCATTGAGTTGGGTTTAACGCCGCTTTTAAATATTCCAGTTATATCCCGGCGGGTCAGCTTAATGTGGGAGGAAAGCCCGAAGTGATGCAGGTCTCAGACGTTAACCACTTCGGTGAAACCCACGAGCACGGGTTTGGGGCTGACAAACCTAGAAACATAATCGGGGTGAACCGGTATACGAACCCACAATCATAGGTTTCTGGCGTACCCAAGGGACTCAACTCTGCACGGCGAATCGCGGCGCCTTAGACGACTGGGCCACCCGTGCTCCCTTCTATCATGTAAAACATCGCCTTAAAAGTACTCTCTATCACAACCATATCTGTGTACAAAAAATAAAAGAAGGCTATTCCAAGAACGTAAATTTCAAATTCGTTAGTTTCGTTCTTATATCACATTTTAGTAAAACTCGTCAGTTTACCTTAACCGTAGTAATCGCACAGTGAGAAAGCCCACGGAGACGCGAAAACGCTTGTTTTATATATCTCAGTGCAGAAAAGTTGAAACGAGGGTGAGGTGTCTCCAGTTGCGCCCCGGGCACCGTCACTACCAGCCATTCCGGTGTCCCCCTGCACGCCCCTGGTGCCTACGACGCCCTTGGTGCCGTCGCTGCCTGTATATCCTGTGTCGCCCGTGGACCCAGTGGACCCGGTATACCCCGTGTAGCCAGTATAACCGGTGTAGCCCGTCCCGCCAGTCGCCCCTGTCGAGCCGGTGTAACCAGTTACTCCCTTCGTACCGTCGCTTCCAGCGTCTCCACCTGTTCCAACTATACCCTCCTCGCCAGCTGCGCCCATTGGGCCAACTGCACCAGTATTGCCTGTGGCTCCTGTATCGCCGACCGCACCTTGTTGGCCTGTGACCCCCGTGTCGCCCGTGTCGCCCGTGTATCCCGTGTAGCCCGTGTAGCCCGTGTAGCCAGTAGATCCGGTATTTCCAGTGTTACCGGTATTTCCCGTATACCCAATGTTACCTTGGAGACCAGTGGAGCCGGTGTCGCCAGTATATCCAGTATACCCATTGATTCCCGTGTACCCCTTGTCACCATTTGCGCCGTCGTCTCCCGTAAAGCCGTTGCCCCCTTGATTTCCCTGCGCGCCCGTGTCGCCTGTATCTCCCGGAGCCCCTGGTGGCCCTTTTACACCAGGATTGTCGGTGGGGCCCGCTGCGCCTATTGGTCCGATTGTGCCCTTGACGCCAGTGTCCGTACCCGTGGCACCCGTTATGCCAACCAGACCAATACTACCATCCACACCATCTGTTCCAGGCACCCCTCGGGTACCTGAGGATAGGAGAAATAACAACAGTTATAACATTCAAATATATTTGTATGAAAAGTGTAAAGATCAACAGTTATGATAATAATAGCAATTAATATGTCGACTGTAAATTCTGACCACCTGTTGTCATGGGTGAGGCGAGTGTGCCGTTTTCCGTCACTTTGACCCATATTGCAAAAATGCACCTAGTCGGGAACTAAAAAGGCGATGCATACACGCGGAGCCATACGGGCAGGAAACCGGGCCTTGCTGCAAGAAACGTTCACCGCTGCACAAACCCAACTATATTTTTGGACTTTTCCTAAACATTAATACATTTGGAATGTTTATAGGTGTACGCGTAAATTTGGTGCACACGCATATGCAACATCACAACGAAGTTATTTGGTGATGATTCCATCAATGGACAACCCAACACGAAGTGCATAAAACGGTACCAAATGTCTGACGTGAAGGTATGCCCCGGGATGCTACTGCTGGAACTCACTCATGTTCCCTTCTTTGTGCCGTGTCCATGCGCCCTTGTTAACAGCTTCATTGCGACTTAGTGCAACGATGTACATTGTTAAATTTTCAAATGATACAAACGTGGGGTTGTAAGCTCCCCTGTGACGTGTAGACAACTACAGTGCTGGGCTCATTCGTGTAATGTGTTCTTCTTAACTGCCAAGAGGACAAGCTTACTGAATATTGTCATTGTGGCATACATCTTAAAACGTAATTTTGTTATTCCCGTCGAGCATGTTAACGTATACGTGGGAGTACTTCAAACGTTGAAGGAAGGATAAACGACTTTATTTCTTAGGTCTTGAAACAAACAACACACGCACGCACGCACGCACGCACACAGACACGCACGCACGCACACAGACACGCACGCACGCACACAGACACGCACGCGCATGCACCAACATACACACAAACACGATTGCAGACACGAACACGCGCGCACGAACTCACACTCACTCACACACACACACACACACACACACACACACACACACACACACACACACACACACACACACACACACACACACACATTGCCACTACCACAACCACAGCCACCACGTAACTGAGAACATGCAGATACGCCCAAAGGATATTATTTTAATAGCGGACCCTACTTTGCAATAATTCATAAAGCTGGTGATGTAGCAAAGCTATTGGACATGTGATGCTCACAGATTTTTTACTGAACTCGTTTTAGTTTCTACGGTTAGAGCAAACTGTGACGACAAGAGTTGTTATTGACTTGACCTGTGAATCTCCAGAAAAAGAACAACTTATCTTGTATACATGTTCTATCCGCTGATCAGAAGCAGTTAGCCCTCTGACATTTCTTTAAACAACATCTCCACATCAGAGAACTTACCGCGTGCCCGACGAGACCCACTGGACGTCCTCGTGAAGGTCGCAGTGGTCAGTGAAAAACTGACCAGGCAAAAGGCAGCTATCATCATATTCATGGTCATTGTAGAAAGACAGATGGCTCCACTGTGAGGTGAACATGAAGGAGCATGGCTATATACCCAGGTTACTGTGGGTTGTCATCATCTGCTCAGCGTCACGTGATTCGCCTCGTGTGTCCGTATTGGATAACGTCACATTGGTAATATTTCCTTGACCAAGCCATTGCAATGTGATTTACAGAAGTATCGAATTTCCTATTCACACGTAAAGTGTCTCATTATCAGCCCGTCTCCATGCCACCCAGATAAGAAACTGGAATTCATTTGTATATTTATTTGAGAATCTTGGAGATTCTATCTATCACGTAACATGTGGTCTCTAACAGGCTGTGGTGTAGCCTGGTGGTTGAAAGCGGGATAAAGCTATACTCACTCATTCACTCACTCACAAAAACACTGTCCCCTCTAACAGACCATCCCCTCTGTCCCCTCTAACAGACCATCCCCTCTGTCCCCTTTAACAGACCGTCCCGTCTAACAGACCATCCCCTCTGTCCCCTTTAGCAGACCGTCCCCTCTGTCCCCTCTAACAGACCGTCCCCTCTGTCCCCTCTAACAGACCGTCCCCTCTGTCCCCTCTAACAGACCGTCCCCTCTGTATCCAATGTCTGTTTCGCCGTGTATCAGTGTCTCTGTGTATTCAATATCTGTTTCTCGGTGTGTCAGAGTCTCTGTGTATCAAATGCCTGTTTCGCCGTGTGTCAGTGTCTCACTTTATTCAATGTCTGTTTCTCGGTGTGTCAGTGTCTCTGTGTATTCAATATCTGTTTCTCGGTGTGTCAGAGTCTCTGTGTATCAAATGTCTGTTTCTCCGTGTGTCAGTGTCTCACTTTATTCAATGTCTGTTTCGCCGTGTGTCAGTGTCTCTGTGTATTCAATGTCTGTTTCTCGGTGTGTCAGTGTCTCTGTGTATTCAATGCCTGTTTCTCCGTGTGTCAGAGTCTCACTGTATCCAATGTCTGTTTCTCGGTGTGTCGGTGTCTCTGTGTATTCAATATCTGTTTCTCGGTGTGTCAGTGTCTCTGTGTATTTAATATCTTTTTCTCCGTGTGTCAGTGTCTCACTGTATCCAATGTCTGTTTCTCCGTGTGTCAGTGTCTCTGTGTATTCAATATCTGTTTCTCCGTGTGTCAGAGTCTCTGTGTATCAAATGCCTGTTTCTCCGTGTGTCAGTGTATCACTGTATCCAATGTCTGTTTCTCCGTGTGCCTCTCGATCTGTCCCTGTTTTTCTCTGTGGATGCGTGTTTTTACAGTTTAAGCATGGCTTGGTGCCACTTCAGTTTTAGGAGTGCATTTGCCTTATTTGAAGCATGTAAAGGCACTGTGGCTAAGAAATGCTGAAAATATGGAAAGTTATGCCCACATGGTACAATGAATAACGTCATATGAAACCGCAACATATGAACCCGACTGGTCAGTAGAATACGGTCCCATTTTGTCGAAAGTCGAAATTTAGAAATGAGATGAAGAAAGAAAGACTTTCATCATTAAAAGTCTTCTTACGCAGTGATAAGTCCAGAATGTTTACGGGTTTTTAATCCCATGAATTATCTTTCTTTCATTGCAGTGCATACTCCCATACGTTTAACAAATGACAATCTTACAATAGACGAGGTGATAAGTGTTTGGCATGCAGTGTTGGTTAGTCAAAGTCAAGTTGGCGCCCTTAACATCAGTAGGGTGCAATCTTTGTGTGTTTGTTTGTTGTTTAACGCCGCGCTCAGCAATATGACCGCGGTCTGTAAAAAATCGAATCTGGACCATGCAATCCAGTGATTGACATCAAGTGCATCGATCCATGTGTTTTGTGTCGGGGCATTGGTTCCACTTACAGAAAAAAATTCAGTTTCCAGGCTGTGTCAGCTTAAAATAGGAAGGAGGTTCAAAGTCGCGGAGAGTTTCTGAACAAATAAGTTCACATGTTCACGTAAATTAATCCACCGACAAGCGTTTCTACATGCACGATTAAACGTGTAATCCAGACTGATTGATCGGTGAAAAATAGCGATAGATGGCTGAAGATTAATTGATCCCAACCCTTATTAATTGTTAGTTTATTACATATCTTAATCAATGCTGCTATCTAAGAAATGTCACCTTCCACGTTGAGAGTGCGAAGCATGTCACTGATAGCATCCCGTGAAACCAGATGGTAACAAACTGAACTCACCCAAACCCTGAATACCAACTGATCATGACCTCTGACCCGAGTGGAATGGGACTTGGCGGACAGTTAATAAACATATGTTGAATGTGCAAACAATTTAATGCTTGAAGCTGAAGTAATTTGTTTGTTTGGTTTGCTTTGTTTTTGCGGTTTGTTTTTTTTGTTTAACGCCGCACTCAGCAATATTCCAGCTATATGACGGCGGTCTGTAAATAATCGAGTCTGGGGCAGACAATCCAGTGATTGACATCAAGTGCATCGATCCACGCGATTAGGATACGATGACATACATGTACCAACCAAGTAACCGATCCCGTCAGTCGCCTCTTACGACAAGCCAAGTCGCCTCTTACGGGAAGCATGGATTGCTGCAGACCAACTCTGTCCCGGACCTACACGGGGAGTAGCTAAAGTAGCCCTATAGGATCATGCATGACCTGTCACAAAATCATCCCTTAATCTTTACACATTCTGAAAATGGAAATGCATCTATTCCGACGAACAACTTTAATGAAGTTCCTGTCTCTCCACCTTATTTTGCCAACAAGCTCCATGGTCTTTTGTTAGAGTCCCAAATTCGCTTCCGTTTTGAACTCATGTTTGTTTGAACTCATGTTTGAACTTCATCCTGTTTATTTAAGCAGTGTGATATACGACTACGTCTACGTCTACTTTTAAACTGGACCTTTCTCGTGATTTAGAGGACAAGCCGTAATATAAGTAACACACTACCCATAGTCACTCACTCATACACAGCCAGGGCAGCAAATCTGACTGACTGCTTAAAGCCACTCACGTGTCTATACAATAGTATTTAAGAAAATAACCGTTTGCACTCCCCTATTGGAGCAAACCTGGTATTGAAAAACCTACACAACTGGTACAATGCAACCTCACTAGTCCGGACCCCGTTATAACAGGGAGGCGCCACTATCCGGGCGGTCACTGCCGGTACCAGTTAATTACATGCACTGGTCATTGAACACTGTAATTATGTTTTAATCAGAAAATTCTAATTGCACATGGAACGATGCCGTCCGGACTAACACTATGTCACTGTATTTGGAATAGCAAGTACACACATATGTGGATGGTTGTCAGCAACGTGGGCAAAATATATTGTTTGTCATTGATAATTAATATAAGGGTAACGCTATTTTTCAGGGCATTATCATTTGCAGAAGCTCGAGGTTTTCCATTAACTGCCCGACGAAGGAGGGCAGTTGAAAATACCGAGGGCTTCTGTAAATGATAATGCCCTGAAAAATAGCGTGACCGTTATTATAGCTAAAATGGATGGAATTTGTTATCAAATAAAAAGAAACAACACTGTCGGTTTTGAAACATTTACTGCAATCAACATGAATGTCACTGACCCACGTTTACAAATATGGAAACGTCACAGAACAAACCAGATGACGTCACTATAATACGTGACGTCACCTTCTCTACCCTATCACAGTCACAGCGGCCCGCTCATTTCTGATAACGTGCGGGCGGTTTAATGATAATTCTATCCATTTTAGCTATAATAATGTTTATACTGTTGAGTGCATTTAGAAGCATACCATCTACGCCTTTGTGGTTAACTCCACGAAGCGTCTTTACAATGTGTAGCCATGTGAGGAATCACCTTTACTTTTCCCGATAAAAAGTGAGGGATGTAACCAATAATCTAGCAGTTGAGAGGCGAAAATTATTTTGAATACACCTCTGCAAGTAACTAGAAGAAAATGTTTGGAAAAAAACATTAATTGGAATATCATTTCAACTTTTGATCAGACAACTGACTTCTGATTCCAAAATGTCTATACTTTCCCTTCGCGGAATGTTTCTGAATATGGATTGTGTTTTCTTGAATTGGATTACTGGGAACGAGATTGAATGTTTTGGAATGTACTGCGCTATTTGTTAATTCTGTATGTGTTACTGGTGTCCAAACATCGTTTGTTTTATTATGTTTGTCTGATGTTGGTCAGCTGGCAGATCTCAGACCACTGCCTGTCCCCGAGATGCTGTAACAGCTGTTGTAGAAGAAGGCGGAGGAACGATGTCACATGCACAGATGTTATCACTTAACTGACAATACCTGATAAAATTGGACACCTCATATCGTATATATGGGTGGTGATTTGGCTTTGTTCAGCACAGTACCCAGATCGGGCTCTTAGGCATTCAGACATGTGGACAAGCAGCATCGGTCTCCTCACTGTACTTGCACTGGCCGCTGGTCACTCGAAAGGTATTTCTTGTCATTTTACTTAACAATTGTATTTTCCATCAATTCACTTACTATACGTATTTTTATTTTAGTGTGTGCGTCCACTGTTTGTATTTTTTTGCAGTGTGTGAATATTTGTGAAATTTGTGTTTCGTTTGGCAGGTCCTACTGGTCGGACAGGTCCAACAGGACCTAGAGGAGCAACCGGCACCATTGGCGTTAAGGGCATTACAGGGACGCAGGGGGTGACCGGTCCGACGGGGGACATGGGCCCAACAGGTGAACAAGGGCCCAAGGGCTTCACTGGGTTTACAGGGTCAACGGGTCCAAAAGGGTCGACAGGCACACAAGGCATTTCGGGAGCTAGAGGAGTTGAGGGGACCGGAGGGGTAACAGGAGATACTGGACCACAGGGGAACACTGGAGCACATGGCCCTGTCGGATACATGGGTTACACGGGCGACACCGGCTCTACGGGATACACAGGATATACGGGAGACACCGGGAACACTGGCGGTGCTGGCGCGATGGGCCAGGAAGGAACAAGCGGGCTTTTGGGGGTACAGGGCAAGGATGGCTTTACAGGCTATACTGGAAACACTGGAAGTACTGGTATTACTGGCTCCACAGGCAATACTGGAGGCACCGGGACAACAGGGGTACAAGGGTACACCGGATACACCGGAAACACTGGAGACACTGGCATTACTGGAGCCACGGGCATGGCTGGAGGCAATGGAGCCCCGGGGGTCACGGGTAGTGTTGGGAATACAGGTGATATTGGAGGTAATGGTGAAGTCGGAAACATGGGGGATACTGGCGCTGTTGGGGATACTGGGGGGACCGGAGTTGCAGGTTTCACTGGCCCACAAGGGGTCTCTAATACCGTGATGGGCAGTACAGGCGAGACGGGAGTAACTGGTACTGAAGGAGCGGAACTGAATCCCTTCTGTATGTCCCTCATCGGCGGAATCGGCGTAGACAACTGGCTAAGGAACTTCTGTTTGACTGTCCTGGTATGTCTTAAATAATTTACTACACACCCTTTTGAATGTAATCCACACACGTTCAAATCGCCGTACTGTAGATGTATCAGAGTCGCGTGCCTTTCCAATGTTGGTCAATATCCCAAATTAACTCGGATTGTTATCTATGGTTTGTAAACACCATGCCCGTGCTCTCGGGTTTCCACCAACTGGTAAAGCCAGTGAGTACTCCGTTTGACTCCCCCAGACATAACTGCCAATTGTTCACGGTGGTATTGCAACACAGTAACCTGCACTTTTTTCAAAAGTCATTTAACACACTCTTTTCAATATCGAGAAACCCTAATGTTTCTTTTGAGTTGGCTTGAAATAACTCATTACGCAAATTACCAATTGTTTAATCATCTTAAACTTGACCTATTCAGGGAACTATATGGTGATGTGCTTCTCTTTGCAGGCTGGATAGCGCTGGGTTCTCCACTCCATCATGAGCCTGTTTGTCTGTGTGTTTTGAATAAATCAAAGAAACTACGAATCTCAATGTTGTATATGTTTTATTTAGCAGATAAACCGAAGGGGTTTTGAGATCCCTCCTCTTTTAAATTGGAACCGAGCGCTTTAGCGCTTTTATTGCATTTTAAAATACACCAGGTTTGTCTGCATACATTTTAATAAACTCCGATGGCGTCATCCCATTGTTCTATACAGGGTTTTCACATTTCACCATGAACTTGCACTCAATCAAGGTGATCAGGTTGTCTGATGAAATGGGGTTTAACGTCGCGCCCAATATTATTAACACTTATATAGTGACGTGCATGCACGCGTGTATGTGTAGGGTTGCTTGTACTAGTCCGGACTAATGAACGATTGTATAGTGCTATCCAGTGAGATACTATGCCGCAGTTCAACATGAATACCGCACTCAGACACAGTATACTGACTCTGAGCCGACCAGTCCTTGTGTTATTCCCTTAATGCCGAGCGCCAGGCAGGGTAACAACAAGTTACGTCAAGCCAAGAACGTGTTTTGGTAGGACGCGGCCGGGAATTGAACCCCTGACCTTCCGCTCTCACGAAGGCGGTACACAATCAAGTTGAAAGTTGAATAATCATAGGGAGGTTTTTCCTTAAAGTAATTTGAGGTTAGAGGTTTTACTTATCAACAATATCAATTGATTCGCATCTTATGTTGATTTTTGACTGGTTAAAAAATCAATATTTATCAACAAAGAATTCCATCACGTGAATTGAACCTGCAATGTGTGTGTGTGTGTGTGTGTGTGTGTGTGTGTGTGTGTGTGTGTGTGTGTGTGTGTGTGTGTGGCTGCTTGTACTAGTCCGGACTGATGCCGATTTATAGTACTAACTCAGTGTGCCGCAGTTTAACATGAATACCCCACTCAGACACAGTATACTGACTCCGAGCCGACCAGTCCTTGTTTTAGCCCCTTAGTGCCGAGCGCCAGACTGGGTAACAACAAGTACCATCTTTTAACGTCTTTTGGTAAGACGCGGCCGGAGATAGAACTCCCGACCTTCCGCTCTCCGGGCGGGCGCTCTACCACTAGACCACGGAGGCGGTCTCCCCACGAGATGGTGCACGTGTAATATGCTGTTGCAGCACCCTTCATGGTATTTGTGAGCATTAAACGAGCACGGGTATAAATTGTGTTTGTTTGTTTGTTTAAATCCGCATTATTCCAGCTATATGGCTGCGGTATGTAAATAATCGAGTCTCGACCAGACAATCTAGTCACTGATATCATGAGCATCGATCTACAATGTACGTAAATGGGATACGATGACCACCCGACCACCCGATCCCGTAAGTCGCCTCTTACGACAATTAGAGTCGCCATTTACGGCAAGCATGGGTTGCTAAAGGCCTATTCTACCCCGGATGGTCATGGGTTGTGGGCTATGTATACTTGTGTAGTGATGAAGACGTGGCAGCCATAATCACTGAAACCTGAAGTTGTTTTGATAGTACTGTAGGCAAAGTGTATTGCAGCCAATAAGGGCATACAAACAGACAGAGTCTAAATTTCTTTCAATTTGAGTATTCTCTTTACCGCGCCATATCAACAGACGCTAAGAGAACGTACTTGTTGTTACCCTGCCTTGCTCAGGTCGGCTCGGAGTCAGTATACTGTGTCTGAGTGGGGTATTCATTTTAAACTGCGGTATCTCAGTGGGCTGGCACTATAAACTCGGCGGGGCGGTCGGACACTCTCCTCTTTGCTGATTCTGCAACTGAACTCCAGAATACATTAGATTCTTTTAAAAGTTGTTGCAATATTTGGCAATATTAGGTGCCTCACATTTGCAGTGTGAGTTCGAATCCCGGACGGGACTCCAGACAAAAAAGTACGATAATATGTACTTTACTCAGAAAGTATTATTCCAAATATAACATTTGTTAATTTTGAATACTTTCGAAAGGGCGTTGTGTGTTCACTTGGCAATTAGACGTAAACCTGGAAAAAAAACATTTCGAAGCGGGACGTCGAAAAACAGTATGTTATCTTTTTATTTGGAGAATACGGAAATTGATACCGTAGACAGTTATACGTACGGTGTTATATTCAGTAGAAACATAAGTTTCAAGTCAACAATAAAATGATTATCAGAGAGTGCGTCTTTAGCCATGATCTGTCTTGAAGTCTCAAAAATGTAGAAATTATAATATTCCTTTGGACTGTATCCTCAAGGCTATAGATGTAATGATATTGCCAATATTATTATATAGCTGTGAAATTCTGGCATACGAAACTGTGAACATAATGAAAAGATTCATTAAAAATTCCTTAAACTAGCTTGTGATCTTGGAAAAGCGAGTGGCTAACTGGCCATATAGAACAGACTAAAATGTCCTGTGAAGATTGGGGATCAGACGTCGAGAGAAGTTCACAGGGGTAAGATTATAAATAATTAAATGATATCACGTCATTTGAAAACTTTCTTCTCCTATCTAAACACATATAGCATCCTATTCTGAAATACAGAACATGTAACCATAATCGACCTGTCGAAGTTGGCCGTTTGCTTGGTATTGACAGAGAATTAAGAACATGTAAACTGCGTATGCTGCAGCTACAGCTGTTGAATTCCACTACCTGTTTAAATGTGAATAAGAAGCTTTCCGTGAATCAAGATCCAAATTTATCTCAAATAAATATACGTAGCTCCTTATATCAAAATATACAGAAAAAAATTGTTAAGTAGCAGACATGTAACATAAAATGTACAATTCATACGTATACTAGATACGTACCTTTGACGGTGAGTGTATATGTGTTCTCAAGCTGTATACTGGGTTGTTCTTGTATGGTTTTCTGTTTAAATGTTCATACAAATTTTCAAAAATATTTTGTTTAAATGTCGCCAAATATTTGAACAGTATAACCGACATCTTGTTAAATACAAATTATTATAGTGTTTAAAAACTTTTTCTGTTGTACCGCCGTGGGTGTGAATGTTTTTTTAAGAATAGAATATTGATTCATTGATTGAGCAACCCATGCTTTGTGGTAAGAGGCGACTGTGCTTGTCATAGAGGCGACAAACAGGATCGGGTGGTCAGGCTAGATGACCTGGTTGATGCATGTCATCGTATCACAATTGCGTGAATCGATTCTTATTATATCAATCACTGGATTGTCTGGTCCAGACTCGATTAGTTACAGACCGCCGTTATATAGCTTGAATATGGCAGAGTGCGACGTTTAACAACAAACAAACACTGGAAATGTCCTGCATTACACTTAGGGCATGAGTGACGCAGTCGTCTAACACGCCAGAATTGCCTGAGACGATCCAGAATCCGATGATCGTGGATTCGAATCACAGTTGGGCCGCATCCGTGGTCTAGGGGTAGAGTGTCTGCCCGGAGAGCGGAAGGTCGGGGGTTCGATTCCCGGCCGCGTCATAGCAAAAGTCGTTAAAAGACGTTACCCAGCCTGGAGCTCGACATTCAGGGGTTAAGTGGGGTACTCATGTTAAATTGCGGCATGGTATCTCAGTGGGCTAGCTCTTTAAGATCGGCATTAGTCCGGACTAGTACAAGCAGCCACACACACGCGTGCATGCACGTCGCTACATAATCGCGACATTAAACACCACCCACTCACTCTAAATAACTAAACGTCAAGGTCAAAGAGTCCGTAAAGACACTGACGATGTCATTTTTAACCACAATATACCACAACGTCATAAGGTTGACTGTTTTCCAAAACCTTGGTCCTTTGGTCGTCCCTGATATAAATCGCATCGTCCTGATAACTGAAAGTCTTCCTCGACATACAGCTGGAAAATGTCTCATGCGACGTAATTATTACCTCACTGATAAGCCAAGGACAAAGAACGATAACGTATGAAAGGTGTTTGTTTGCTCTTGTTTACAAAGGTACACACGTCTGCATAGGCGGTTAATGTCTTGAGTGACTGGTGGGTCATCGCCTGGGTGTGGCTGGATCAGAGTAGAACTGAAAAACATGAGACACATATGAATGAGTGCGTCAGTGTGGTTTTAATTCGCTTTCCATTCCATTCGCATTCCAGTTATATGCAGATCTTAGACGTTTACCACTATGGTGAAATCCACGAGCATGGATTTGGTGCTGACAAACCAGGAATCGAACCGAAGATTGTAGGATTCTCAGAACAGCGTATTGAAGCGTCTAAGGAGACAGAATTACCAGTTCCCCGCAGATGACACTGCACACTGGCCTCACACACTGTATCTACGTGGGTGCTCGAAGCCGAAAACAAACACTTACGTTAAACAGTGGCCATTCCGTCCCTTACGTTTGGATACCGTCACGCCCACGTAAAGGGGTTGTTTAACGTTAACGTGGACACACTGACTAATGTCTCCAAACAATGTCTATCAAAGACTCGGAGCATCAGAAAAGTGAACCGACTGGAAGCATGCAGCATAAGAGAGTTGTACCCTGGACCAGACAATCCACCAGTGACTGTAAGCATGAACAACCATCAAACCATGGCACGCACGTCACACAGCCTGATCAGTTTCCTATGTTACTGTGTGTGTGTATGTGGTGTGTGTGTGTGTGTGGGGGGGGGGGGGGGGGGGGTTAACATCATAGTTCCAGAACAACTTCATTGAGATAAGCTTCAATATAAGAAGTAACCATGTTTTTTCATTGAATAAGTCGAACGGAATAACGGTACTGACACGTGACAGGTGGGAGGGAAACGGGCTTCACTTTGAGCACCTAACTGTCTTTAATTACCGCGATCTGAGACACTGTAAACTGGTATATAGGTAGATATAATACTAATCTATAGATGTAAACACATTTGTTGATACATCTGTGTGATTTTGACAGTCCGGGCCAAGTCGGACCCATCTTCCCGAGGCAAGAGAGTTAACTGACTTTAAAAGTCCAGTTTCCACCCTTGCCCAACTAGGCTGGAATTCCTGGGCTCGATCGTAGCGCCAACAGTGGCTATTACGAGTTATGTCCTTTCTATGCCTCTCCTATTGACCAATCAGATTCAACCTCTCGTATTACTTTCATTTGCTTCAAACAAAATGGTGGCGCCCAGTCAAGACGATCTGATTGATAATCAAGATCTATATTGTGATAAAACGAGTCTTACATCGCGAAGTGCATCAAATCACGTGAGCACCTTGATTATGGGCATGAAAAGATTGAGACAATCTCTGTTGACAACGAGTTAGCGATGCACATGCATTGCAAATCCTGCAGTCGACCGAAATCTGCATGACACTTTACGAACCGGATTTCGATTTCGGTGCGCGATTTTGATTGGACTATGCATAGTCTCGTTAGTCCAGCCAAAATGTAACTCTATAATACCAGCCTCGTTCGGCAAGGGTGGAAACTGGACTTTTATAGTCAGTTAACTCACTTGCCTCGGAAAGATGAGTCGGACCCAACATTTGTGAGACTGTTGAGAGTATGGAGATAAGAGGTCTACTTTAACCAACGTGTCTGCTTTAAATACGATAAACAGTGACATTAGTATTCATGGTATATCCTATAAATGTAAACGCTATGCCGACAAATTGAAATTAGTATCACGATATCTAGAAATATTTGATACGTTTCAAATCCTATTTCGTTTAACGATTGCTCTTTTACATGTTACCTAGATCAGAAACGCTTACACACAGCCCCACTTTCTGGTTTTCAAGCGATTTACTCCGAATCACATAATTATGGTGCACGTTTTTGGTTGGTGATTGTTCAGTAATGTCATGTGTGTATGTTGCATCAATAATATGTAAATATGGTCGCCGATAATGGAGTAATTAGCCAATACAACTTTGGCCCGTCTTGGCCCGGCCCGGCCCGACGTTTAGGCAATCCCCTCCAAACACATGTACTCACCGCTCTAACGCGCGTTTCGAAATCAGCTCTTGTAGTATTCTCTGAAAAATAAAAAAAAGCCTTCTTTCTGAAGACAGCGTGCCTCAGTTGTGGTAGATTATTGCAGAAACAGATGTTCATTTCAAAGGCAACGCTTTGCTTTCCCGGTGTAGTATGGGACGATGGACGATAATTGAAAATAAAATCTCTTTTGAAACCGATTTGTGCAATGACTTGTTCTGGACATTTCTAGCGGTGTTTTTTTATGAATATATGAGATTGTGCTCCGTCGGGTGGGGTTCAAATTAGAAGTTATTCGAGCCGCCTTCTATTTATTTCTTTGGTCAAGATGGTGTATTGGTTTATTTTAAGACGACAAGATTTGGATAATTATTTTATATCAGATGAAGCTCATTTCTGATTAAGACCGATGACGTCACAGATAGGCAACGAATACAGTCAAACCGTCATGACGAATTTGTGTTTGACCGAATGTCCGGTTCTGACCGGTTCCTCCCTTAATTCATACCTAGCTGTTCCCGATGAGATGGATGTGTCGAATGCCGAGAATTTCGAATAAACTGTGAGGTAAGTGTCACGTTTAGCTAATTATCATATTTCAAATATGAGGAAGGTATCTTGTAACGGTTCGTGTTTGACTATACATCGACTCACATGTCAGTGTCTAAATTGAGGTAAACTTTGAGTCCATGAAAACTCTCATTATCGCGAGGGGAGTATGAGGCTTCATTTCGACGTAAACAAGAAATATACGATACATTTGACTAATCCAATCCTTACGTGCGGTCGCTCTCATTGTCTTGAAGCTGATGGATGGTTCACCCTGTGATATCATGTTGAAAATCTCGACTGCCTTGTCTGGCGTGTCTCCATAACGACATGACCACACAGCTGCCCACTCAAACCGTGACACGCTGCAGTCGTCTGAAATCAATCATCCGGGGAATGACGTTACTCGTGACTATATACAGTTTTATATCCTTCATATTGGTACAGCTCAGCAGATCATCAACGTAAATATTACTCGCCCATGTTGACGGGTCCAGTATGAGCTCACATGGCCATGATTAAGCAAAGATTATTTTTCTCTGTTTCATTAACCAAAACGGCTGCCAAATGTACGTTCAATGTATAAAATAACATACTGAGCAAAACATAATTTAAACGCCCCCATTCAAAGACAGATTATCTATTTATCTGATGTAGGTACCAAGGTCATGTCGGAAGGCGAAAACATAGGGTAGCCTGCGGTATAGAGTCCAGAGGTTGGATGGCGCTGGTGACTCATGCATTTCATAAGGTTACATTATCATCAAAGTCACTGATAGAAAATAGCATTTTCGTCATTGCCAAGTTTATTCAACACATTAAGTAGTCAATTCCCGTTTAAACAAAGAAGTCATGGTTTAAATAATTATCAAACGTGATTGACCAGTGTCTCAAAGTAAGGTGCCACCTGACGAGATAACTAAAATGTTGCTCAAAACGGCGCTAAACCCGACTCATATACGTGACACTGCTGTAACTTAACCACAACATAACACAACTCCATTGTTATTTGATACAGTCAGAATGTTTACTCGGACACAATACCACTCGGCTTGATTTCTTTGTTTATTTGTTTGGTTGGTTGGTTAACGCTTCTGTTATATTCCTGCTATATAACGTCGTTCTGTCAATAATCGAGTCTGGACCAGAAAATCCAGAGATTGATATGAGCCTCAATCCACGTAATTGGAATATTATGACAAGCATCAACCAAGTCAGCGAGCCTGACCACCCGCTCCCGTTAGTCGCCTCTTGCATTGCTGAAGACCAATTGTAAACCGAACCTTCACGAGTCGGCTCGGCACTCTCATCAGCCAATCAGCATCGATGCTTCTTCGGTACGTGAGAGTGAAGCATTCAGATAAGCATAATCTGATTTGTATGCATAGAAAACGCCTTGTCAATCGCCTTGTTTCGAATGTAAACGATAAATGGCGAGCCATTAACTTGTTGGATGCTTCATCCTGCAGTTTCTGAGCGCAACGGCATCGTACAAATAATTTATGATTTTACATATGTCTTGCATTTAAAATTTTCCCTAAGATACAGTTAAATGCGTTCAATCATACTGTAAAATACCGTAGGTCCCGATGTGTTTTAAACAGCTTCTGGAAATATATATATATTGGGGGGGGGTAAATACACGTGAATCATTAGCAACGGGTTGACAATAATTTTAGCTATGCCCCTTTACGCTTGGACGGAACGCAGTCGCATAAATGGCCACGAGAGAGGCACGAGTCGCTATTCGGCTTGTCCCGGAATAACACGAGTTGGTTACGAATGCCTACCGTTGATGTCGTACAGGATGAGATCACGGTCTTGGTCCTGGGGGGTCATGATTCCGTCGCCATCATTGTCGTTGAAGTCAAGGATTCTATCGATCTTCTCTTCCAATGACTTTGGTGGGTTGCAACAGAAACTGAAAGCCAGACGAATATTTGACACACATGGTGCTGAGTAGTGATTTCCTATCCTTTCACCATGGTCCGTGTACCGCCAGATCCCGCCGCACAAGGATCGTGCATGTCTATCATCACGACCGATGTTCAAAACATGTTTCAAAAATTGCGAGGAAACACGTACTGTGATGTTGAGAGAACCCTGCGTACAGGTTTGTGCGTTGAGCCACGTGATGGTCATATTAATATAAGTAGTTCCACTATGGGTTCAAGTTGAATTTGTATTTCAACAAGAACATTTTTTATTATATGTGTCTATGTCTTTTTGATTAAGTTTCTCAGTTTTTGTGGTTGTGTGAAGACAGAATTAACTAATTACAGTTATATTTAATGTCCTCCATAACACAAATAGTCTTTGAACATTTACTTTATCGTTACTAAAGCTGACCCTCTTGTCACTTGTGAGACTTTATCGTTACTATAGCTGACACTCTTGTCACTTGTGAGACTTTATCGTTGCTAAAGCTGACACTCTTGTCACTTGTGAAACTTTATCGTTACTAAAGCTGACACTCTTGTCACTTGTGAGACTTTATCGTTGCTAAAGCTGACACTCTTGTCACTTGTGAGACTTTATCGTTGCTAAAGCTGACACTCTTGTCACTTGTGAGACTTTATCGTTACTAAAGCTGACACTCTTGTCACTTGTGAGACTTTATCGTTGCTAAAGCTGACACTCTTGTCACTTGTGAGACTTTATCGTTACTAAAGCTGACACTCTTGTCACTTGTGAGACTTTATCGTTACTAAAGCTGACACTCTTGTCACTTGTGAGACTTTATCGTTACTAAAGCTGACACTCTTGTCACTTGTGAGACTTTATCGTTACTAAAGCTGACACTCTTGTCACTTGTGAGACTTTATCGTTACTAAAGCTGACACTCTTGTCACTTGTGAGACTTTATCGTTACTATAGCTGACACTCTTGTCACTTGTGAGACTTTATCGTTACTAAAGCTGACACTCTTGTCACTTGTGAGACTTTATCGTTACTAAAGCTGACCCTCTTGTCACTTGTGAGACTTTATCGTTACTATAGCTGACACTCTTGTCACTTGTGAGACTTTATCGTTACTATAGCTGACACTCTTGTCACTTGTGAGACTTTATCGTTACTAAAGCTGACCCTCTTGTCACTTGTGAGACTTTATCGTTACTAAAGCTGACGCTCTTGTCACTTGTGAGACTTTATCGTTGCTATAGCTGACACTCTTGTCACTTGTGAGACTTTATCGTTGCTAAAGCTGACACTCTTGTCACTTGTGAGACTTTATCGTTACTAAAGCTGGAACTCTTGCTCTGCCTTGTGTTTGTGTAGCTACGCTCTGCCTTGTGTTTGTGTAGCTACGCTCTGCTTAGTGTTTGTGTAGCTACGCTCTGCCTTGTGTTTGTGTAGCTACGCTCTGCCTTGTGTTTGTGTAGCTACGCTCTGCCTTGTGTTTGTGTAGCTACGCTCTGCTTAGCGTTTGTGTAGCTACGCTCTGCCTTGTGTTTGTGTAGCTGCGCTCTGCATTGTGTTTGTGTAGCTACGCTCTGCATTGTGTTTGTGTAGCTACGCTCTGCTTAGTGTTTGTGTAGCTACGCTCTTCTTTGTGTTTGTGTAGCTACGCTCTTCCTTGTGTTTGTGTAGCTGCGCTCTGCCTTGTGTTTGTATAGCTACGCTCTGCTTAGTGTTTGTGTAGCTACGCTCTTCCTTGTGTTTGTGTAGCTACGCTCTGCTTTGTGTTTGTGTAGCTACGCTCTGCTTAGTGTTGTGTAGCTACGCTCTGCCTAGTGTTTGTGTAGCTACGCTCTGCCTTGTGTTTGTATAGCTACGCTCTGCTTAGTGTTTGTGTAGCTACGCTCTGCCTTGTGTTTGTGTAGCTACGCTCTGCTTAGTGTTTGTGTAGCTACGCTCTGCCTTGTGTTTGTGTAGCTACGCTCTGCTTAGTGTTTGTGTAGCTACGCTCTGCCTTGTGTTTGTGTAGCTACGCTCTGCCTTGTGTTTGTGTAGCTACGCTCTGCTTAGTGTTTGTGTAGCTACGCTCTGCTTAGTGTTTGTGTAGCTACGCTCTGCCTTGTGTTTGTGTAGCTACGCTCTGCCTTGTGTTTGTGTAGCTACGCTCTGCTTAGTGTTTTTGTAGCTCCGCTCTTCCTTGTGTTTGTGTAGCTACGCTCTGCCTTGTGTTTGTGTAGCTACGCTCTGCTTAGTGTTTGTGTAGCTACGCTCTGCCTTGTGTTTGTGTAGCTACGCTCTGCCTTGTGTTTGTGTAGCTACGCTCTGCTTAGTGTTTTTGTAGCTCCGCTCTTCCTTGTGTTTGTGTAGCTACGCTCTGCCTTGTGTTTGTGTATCTACGCTCTGCTTTGTGTTTGTGTAGCTACGCTCTGCTAAGTGTTGTGTAGCTACGCTCACCCTAGTGTTTGTGTAGCTACGCTCTGCCTTGTGTTTGTATAGCTACGCTCTGCTTAGTGTTTGTGTAGCTACGCTCTGCCTTGTGTTTGTGTAGCTACGCTCTGCCTTGTGTTTGTGTAGCTACGCTCTGCTTAGTGTTTGTGTAGCTACGCTCTGCCTTGTGTTTGTGTAGCTACGCTCTGCCTTGTGTTTGTGTAGCTACGCTCTGCTTAGTGTTTGTGTAGCTCCGCTCTTCCTTGTGTTTGTGTAGCTACGCTCTGCCTTGTGTTTGTGTAGCTACGCTCTGCTTAGTGTTTGTGTAGCTACGCTCTGCCTTGTGTTTGTGTAGCTACGCTCTGCCTTGTGTTTGTGTAGCTACGCTCTGCCTTGTGTTTGTGTAGCTACGCTCTGCTTAGCGTTTGTGTAGCTACGCTCTGCCTTGTGTTTGTGTAGCTGCGCTCTGCATTGTGTTTGTGTAGCTACGCTCTGCATTGTGTTTGTGTAGCTACGCTCTGCTTAGTGTTTGTGTAGCTACGCTCTGCCTTGTGTTTGTGTAGCTACGCTCTGCCTTGTGTTTGTGTAGCTACGCTCTGCTTAGTGTTTGTGTAGCTACGCTCTGCCTTGTGTTTGTGTAGCTACGCTCTGCCTTGTGTTTGTGTAGCTACGCTCTGCCTTGTGTTTGTGTAGCTACGCTCTGCCTTGTGTTTGTGTAGCTACGCTCTGCTTAGTGTTTTTGTAGCTCCGCTCTTCCTTGTGTTTGTGTAGCTACGCTCTGCCTTGTGTTTGTGTAGCTACGCTCTGCTTTGTGTTTGTGTAGCTACGCTCTGCTTAGTGTTGTGTAGCTACGCTCTGCCTAGTGTTTGTGTAGCTACGCTCTGCCTTGTGTTTGTATAGCTACGCTCTGCTTAGTGTTTGTGTAGTTACGCTCTGCCTTGTGTTTGTGTAGCTACGCTCTGCCTTGTGTTTGTGTAGCTACGCTCTGCTTAGTGTTTGTGTAGCTACGCTCTGCCTTGTGTTTGTGTAGCTACGCTCTGCCTTGTGTTTGTGTAGCTACGCTCTGCTTAGTGTTTGTGTAGCTACGCTCTGCCTTGTGTTTGTGTAGCTACGCTCTGCCTTGTGTTTGTGTAGCTACGCTCTGCTTAGTGTTTTTGTAGCTCCGCTCTTCCTTGTGTTTGTGTAGCTACGCTCTGCCTTGTGTTTGTGTAGCTACGCTCTGCTTAGTGTTTGGGAAGCTACGCTCTGCTTAGTGTTTGTGTAGCTACGCTCTGCTAAGTGTTTGTGTAGCTACGCTCTGCCTTGTGTTTGTGTAGCTACGCTCTGCCTTGTGTTTGTGTAGCTACGCTCTGCTTAGTTTTTGTGTAGCTACGCTCTGCCTTGTGTTTGTGTAGCTACGCTCTGCCTTGTGTTTGTGTAGCTACGCCCTTCCTTGTGTTTGTGTAGCTACGCTCTGCCTTGTGTTTGTGTAGCTACGCTCTGCTTAGTGTTTGTGTAGCTCCGCTCTTCCTTGTGTTTGTGTAGCTACGCTCTGCCTTGTGTTTTTGTGTAGCTACGCTCTGCCTTGTGTTTGTGTAGCTACGCTCCGCCTAGTGTTTGTGTAGCTACGCTCTGCCTTGTGTGTGTGTAGCTACGCTCTGCTTTGTGTTTGTGTAGCTACGCTCACCCTAGTGTTTGTGTAGCTACGCTCTGCCTAGTGTTTGTGTATCTACGCTCTTCCTTGTGTTTGTGTAGCTACGCTCTGTCTAGTGTTTGTGTAGCTACGCTCTGCCTTGTGTTTGTGTAGCTACGCTCACCCTAGTGTTTGTGTAGCTACGCTCTGCATAGTGTTTGTGTAGCTACGCTCTTCCTTGTGTTTGTGTAGCTACGCTCTGTCTAGTGTTTGTGTAGCTACGCTCTGCCTTGTGAAAAACAGCTTGTCCGTTATTCTAAGACACTTTATTTGAAAGCCAATTAACCAGAATGAGCATGAATACGTGTATTTGTAAATATGATGATGCAATTATGTTAGATTCATATTCTATCTGATCATAAAGAACACGCTCACGAAATAAGGAATAAGATGTACGCGAATGTACTTACCTTCCGCTGGAGTCGTACAGAAACGCCCCCGTCACTGCGACGAGAGACAAAATCACTGCTGTTCTCAACATCATCTATCAGAATAATGTATAAGTTGTTAATAATATACAGTTCACTAAAACAGTTCTAACTAAACAATTTTCAAATTTAACATGTCTACACAAGACCAGCGTAATTGCGATCATGTGAATTTACTGATAACTGTTAATTGGTAATGGTTATCAAAATATGGACTGTATTCTTGTAAAGATTTGAATGTCTTCTAACAGTACACACAGGCGTTTGTCGAGTTGACTTTTACTGTATTAATGGCCCACAAAGAAAGTCACTTGTCAATATCCCTTCGGATGTACGACTCTAATATGGACTGAAAAATCATTAATCTGAAATCTGTTTTAAGTTTGATATTAAACATATGAAAAGTTTAAGAATTCAAATTAGGATACTTGTCTGGTTAGACGCAAATACAGTTTTGTTTAAACCTATAAAAAAGAATAGATTTGAGTTACGTGTTTAAAAAATAATTTTGATAGAGAAGAACACGATCACTGCCGTTCCCTTGTTTGGTTGCAGAAGAATAGCTACTGATGAAAAGAAGTAGGAAGATTGAATGTCGACTCACCAATGTCTGATTGCCCTGTTTCAGACCAGTCAGTGAAAGACTGTCTGTACCCGCTTGGGTGAGTCCATCTTCTGGTGGGGATAACGTAAATAAATATTTCATTACACTCATCCACGTCTACTCCACCCTGTCTCAACATCAACGCACCTGGGAACGTCCACTCCGCGACCTCCTGAATACAATCATGTTTGGCAATACAACAGCTTAGGAATACTTATCTCATCGCACCCACAAACGATCGTTGAAGCACCATACGTTGTTAAATACGCGTTTTGTTTACCAAGATCCTATGAAATAGTTTTCGGTAGTTTACGGTGCCTCCTCGCTATAACGCTGTCACGCAGGTATATAGATATGCATTTCGAAACCACCTACATGATTGTAGTCCACGAGAGGGGATCGTCGTGATGGGTTTTAGAGTTGCACACACTAATAAGATCTAATACGCTGGGCTTACTTTTAATTGTATTGGCAAGTTGGGGTCATTTCACTCATGTTTAACTCGTTGTGAGGTTTAGATCAATCTAGTAATAGATGGTGCTGGTCACAAGACGTGCAGCATGCTCTCTATTGTGTACAACATGTCATCGCATCGAGTGTGTTCAGAAAATACACAAAAGAAAGGAAAGTTTCACTTCTTCGACCTTTCATACTTTCATATTATATGTCTGAAAGACGCCTTCGTGACCTTAATGAGGGACTATGCAACATGTTCCCATGTTCACTCGCCTAGTGGTCTAGTGGGTAGAGCGTCTGCCCTTTGAGCGGAAGGTCGGTGGTTCAAGCCTGTAGCCGAGACTTACCGAAAGGCGTTCAAAATGATGCTTGTTGTTACCCTGCCTGGCGCTTCGCAGTAAGGAGAGAAACAAGGACTGGTCGCCTCGGAATCGGTATAGTGTGTCTGAGCGGGGTATTCATGCTACACGGCGGCATGCTCTCTCCGTAAGCTAGCATTTTAAAAGCGGCGTAAGTAATTCCTGTATGTTTCATCATTAAATACTCGACGTAGTTAATATGAATATGTTTGACATGTATATACTTTAAAAACAGTTCAGTAATTAGGCCCTCATTGATAAACAAAGGTCGTACAACAACGCTAACAGATGGATATATATGGCCCTCTTGGCCGGTTTATCATGATTGTTTTTATTTAAATATCACGGCGTTTGAATAGCACTTCCTGTTGTTAAACCTCCATTTAGAATCTTGCAATTCCATTGGTTAATCCTTACCACGTGACGAAACAATAGATTTAAATGGAGAGCCCCAAATTCATGTGACTGACACTGACCTTCAATATTTACTCGTCACATGATGAGTATTGACCTGTCACGTGATAAATATTAACTCGTCTGCTAGGAAACAAGACGGCGTCTTGTTCCAACGTTTCGCAGCTACATTTGTAAGTTACCGCTATGAAAGAGAGGACGATTTAAGGTTTCATACTCTTGATGAATAACCTCTGACCCGACCCCTTGTCCTGCGACCTCGGTCCGGTCAGACCACCTCAGGCCCTTGTCCTTGACCTCATCAAAAGTAATTATTTGTATCATACAAGCGATTACGCGCATCAAAATAGTCATCTCTGAAATTTAATGAAATTCGAATATGGCGAAATCCCTGCAGTATAGGAGTATCCGGAGGAACACTTGTCATGGGGTGGAATCCAATGGTCCTTCCGAGTATGATGGTAATACGTTTGGGTTTTCTTGATTCCCTGCTCTCTGGTAAATGTGCTATTGGACAATGCCCAATTACGACAGTGAACCTTGACAGTGTAATCGTTGAAAATAGGTGAAACTAAATCCACCCCAGTGGGGATTCCAGGTTAGAACAGGTACTCGAGGAACGTATTCGGTGATCAGACTCGGCGACTTGGTGGATTCTGTATCATCGAACGATGGCGTGGATCGTTGCTCATAATATCGATCACCAGACTCGATTATTTACATACCGCCGTCATACAGATGAAATATTGCAAAACAAACATAAACAAACAACCTGCAAAGTTGCAAACCACAATGTTCTACGTTTCACAATTACTCCCTGAGCAGTGATTGTCAAAGACACTGTGATTGGGTGCCGACACCATCCGAATTCCGTTCACTGCAATCAGTATGCGTGATTCATCCACATCAAAACAGGAAGCATCTGCGATCTCCGTCACCTTTTGCTTCATCCTACATTAAAGCGATGTTCTACATAATATTAAAAGCGGAAGTAAACCAAAATACTCTTTCTCTCACTCGATAACACGAGTTCCTAGTCGAAATCGCCTATGCTAGTTGCATACGCAGTGGATGTAGCAAATATTGACACGCACGATGTTTTTTTGTCAACTCTGCAACCTGCATTTCAATGTTTGCTCACACGACTGCAAATACCGTAAAGGTGGAACAAAGAGCTGACGGGGATAAGAGGGGCGTACATGTTGACCTAATGACGCGCTGTATATATCTAATACTCTCAGCACTGCACACAACCACCGCTTTAACCAGTCAAAAACTTACTTACGTAAATCAATTAGAGAAACTCTATAAAAGTACAGTAACGAGTTTATTGACATTAAAACATCTAAGGAAGTATTTGCTTATTATTGTGAAACCCCGTTCTCCCGGAAAACTCACCTGTTGAGATGGATGTTGGGATGGGTTGTATACAATCAAGGTATATTATAGTTATGTATTTGTCAATCCGAGAATAATAATTAGGAAATCATTTTTGTCAGAAGCCATTATGGTGACGTTTCAGCCAATCCACTTGAAATGACACGGTACCCAGGGTCATTTACCCGGTATATGTGAGCGGGTATCTCTCACTGTTTTCCACCACCCCAACAATCTCCCGGAATGTATTCACATTCCTTCAGGCAAGATCGTTTTGTTTTCAACTTACAGGAACATCAACATCATCGATATTACTCTAAACAACGCACACGGACGGTTGTATATTCCAATAACGCTCTTTTATTGATGTTTCAAATTGCTATGTTTATCGGGGTTTTTTTTACATTTTCACGTCTTACCTCAACAACGAATTACACAAAGTAAGACATAACAAACATTTCCATTAGATCTGTATTCTTTGTATTATATGCAGTTTTACTGAAATATACAGACGCATTGATAACAATTGATAAATAACTGAACACATATACACAACAAAGGTAAGCACCACCCGTCTGTGTAAACGTGGGCCGTGTGCTCCTCCAGGGGGGTCACATTCTATGATGCAGAGAGACAGAGGAATCGGTTGGAAGGGACGCCATATAACTGCTACACCGGAGCACTTACAACACATGGCAGTAGAAAATCCATTTCACCTTCTGTATATCAAAATAAGTATGTCAGTTTGTAAAAAAAAAGTAAAAGTATTTTGTCTCTAGACAGCAGATAAAGTTTTACGCTTTTTAAGACAAGCACCAGAGCGCTGGGGACATATATATCGTCAGTCAGTATAACAGCTTACTAAATATCAAATAAGTTACTCATATTAATATGAATACATATTACTGTCAGTGCTATATGAACTGACCTTTGTTTTAGTGAGTGAGTATGTGAATAATTGTCAGAAGATTAGGCCTCAACTGATAGGCTAAACATGAGGAAATAATATCTTCATATAATATAAAGAAACTACCGTACTTATATGGCGTATATGGGTGTGATGTACATGTAATGAGATCCTTGCAGCGCTGTAATTGAGCCTCGAATTGAAAATTTACTGAAACATACCATTGATCCAAATCCATCTAATGGATTGAAAAATCTAAATGGGAAATTTGGTTTAACATAATGCTTTAGGATTATCCTTTCACATCAGAGATTTGAGTTAACGCTACAAAGGGAGTTGGTGTAAACAAACAAATAGACAAATGCACCTTTCGTTCCGACAATTATCAAGAGAAATACGTAAAAGAAGATCTGGTCCAACATTCTACTGGCAGCTTTCCACGTAACCATGGCAACAACGTCGTTGCCCGGGTACGAAACCTTTTTCTTGGACCTCTTCGCAGGATCTCAAAGCAGAAGGGCGAAGGTTTCACTTTGTCATAGCAAGCAGACACAATGGCCGTAGCAAGGATGGACAGTCCACTCAAAATAAGCATGCTTGTAAGGTAGATCATGAGAAGGGAAGGTTTGTCGGAAGAGGTAGGTATAAGCGAGGTGATATAACTCATAAACACGGCTAGGGACAAGAGGCTGGTGGAACAGTGAACACGGGGACGTTCAGGATGGAGATGAGGACAATGGGAGACACAACGTTGAGAACGTAAAACAAAGACCTCCTCTGAAGCTTCAATATGAAATTTATTTCATCACGTTGCTCTGTAACATCATTTTCAAGCAAGCGAATGTACTTAGCATCACACAGTATCCATTCTCCGTGTCTGTATTTTTCTGGAAGAGTAGCGATGTAGTCTTCATCAAAGGTCAGATTGACTTCATGGCTGCAGTAGTTCGATGTGATGAACTCGAATGTACACACTTGTTCATCAAAGGGAAAGTCCGACATATCCAAAGGGCAGTAACTCTGAAAAAACGTGTTCTTCATCAGTTGTACCCGACCGTCTGAATACACAATGAGAAGGTTCTGTTCCGCTGAAGACTGGTCGAAGGAGAGATTGTCCACGAGGATCAGACTTGGCTCCCTCATGTCTGTCAGGCTTGGGTGGAATTTGGTGGAATATGCCTCCATATTTGGAGGGGTCCCATTTCAGAAGCTCATCCTCCCACCACAGGACCAGATCGCCCACGAAGGAGATGTGCTGTAATACGTTGTCGATGCTCCGAAAGTACCTCATGTCGATGGACATGTGGATACTGACCATCTTGGACTGGTCATGGACTGGTCGGACTCTTGTGTCGTAATCTCCAAGACGTCGCCAAGCAACCGAACATGATCGCTAGCGTTTGGGAACCCTCGGCCAAATGTTACCGTGAACAGGATTAAGAAGAATCTCAAATAAATCTCTTCATTCATTGTCTCAAAGATTTGAAAGATTTCGATGCTCCAATGTTCACGACAGAAATGACGTTGGAAATACTGTCCTTTTCTTCGGCGCCACTTTTCAACACTGTTTGATCATCGCCCTTCTCTCTTTTAATTAAATGAGTCAATGTTTGTCCTGGAAAAAACATGAGGATTCGTGCAGCAGGCAAGCTTTGAACAGTTGCAACATGATACTTAGCCATGCGTCAATACTGATTACGAAACTTGGATGTGGGGGATTGTAGATGTACGTTAAAGAGTTGTGGCAATACGTCGACAGAATTCATCAGCGCGATCGCAATATTAGGCAGGAAATCAATAGTTACGAAAGCCAGCTAATTGCATTTGATATACGAATCTCATGAACTCGCTTTGTACTTAGTGACGGATGTACATCTGAGAAACAATAACGATGAAACAATTGAATTAATCAAATGTTTAATAACTACTTGGAACAGGTGTGCATATTATGTACGTGGGTTGCATCGCATATTTCACATTCTGACATTTACATGTGTACAATTGGAATTATCATAGGTGGCCAGGTATGTCATTTGTAATATGTATCACTGTTTGGTTGATATCTAAAACCAACTGCCACATAAGTACCATTTCGAATTTCGAAATAGATAAAAATCCTGTTATTTAGTCAAGTTAGTTCGTTCAGCATGTTTTCATCATTTCTACAACCACCCCTTCAATGAGATATGTCATGTTGATTTCCCAAGTCCAAGCAGTGCAAATATGCAACATATTCCGATGAAAGTAAATATATTTCTATGGAGGGTTATTTCATAAATTATATTTTAAAAATTATGTATTTTGTAAACATTAGTTTGAATTATTGAAGAATAAAAGTAAATAATCTTGAACTTGAGTAATATGTGTTACATTTATCACTTCCTGTGCCCCCTTTTCGGATCGTTCACAGATCACAGACCTATGCCCTCACACAACCGACACGCAGTGATATATAACTGAATAAACGGAGCTCCGTGTGTGACGGGTGAATCCGGTTCCACTGCACAGCAGCAGGGGGACTGCGGTTGAATGTGATGCGGCGCACGTTGTGTTCAGTCAATGCGTCACGTTGACTCGACACGTCCACTGTGTCTGTTCACACAAGTTTCAGCTGTTGTCGACTCCTGAGAGCGGGTCAAAAAGTGAGTTGTGTTTTATGCCGATTTTAGCAATATTCCAGCAATATCACGACAGGGGACACCAGAACCGATGGGGGGAATCGAACCCGGGTTTTCGGCGTGACGAGCGAACGCTTTAACCATTAGGCTACCCGACCGCCACGAGGAGACATGTAAAGTACAGAATTGAGATATTGTGAAGATATATGAAACAATAATGTGTCTTTAAAATAATGCAGTGTGTAACTAGCGTCTCTTTATCGACACCCGGGATTAACTGGATCGTAGGATGAATACACTCTTCAAAAAAGGAAACGCACAGGTAGTATGTAGTTCACTGCAAAAAATCCGGTATATGAATTGGATATATGTTATTGGAAAATGTTGGTGGCATGATATTCGACAAACGGTACGTCAAAATGTAGCCATTGTCGATTTGCAATGTCATAAACGGCATTGTTTTCACACTTGTTCCAAAATATCATGGAGGAAAACAGCAAAGCAAAATGCACGTGCAAGTTATGGCATTCGTAACACGTAGCAGTGGCAAGCATAAGCCAATCATTTGTCATTCATTCAAGTTCGAAAATGTCTAGACACAGAGCTGCCGATCGGAACATCGACATAGGACGTATCCAAAGAGGGGAATGGCAGTCTTCTGTTGCCCTCCACTTTAACGTCCACCACAGCACTATTTGCCGCCTTTGTGACCGATATACACAGTTCAATTCCACTACTGCACAGGATCGCTACATTCGACTGTTCCGCCTACGTCATCACAATGCAACAGCTACGGAGACTGCAGGACGCATCCCTGGTTTGAGGAAGTATCGGACTAGACTGTCAGGAACCATCTTCGCGAGGTTGGAGTCCGACCCAGAAGACAAGTTATCGTCCCTGTTTTGCAACAGATCCACCGACAGCGACGCTTACGTTGATGCCATACCTTAAAGCCTTGGAATTTGAGAAACTGGAAATGCGTGTGGTTTAGCGATGAATCACGATTTCATCTTCACCGGAGAGATGGAAGACAACGTGTTTATCGTCGTTGAAATGAGCATTTTGCCCCACATTGTGTACGTGAATTCGACAATTTCTGTATCCTTCACCACGAGATCTGACTTGGTTGTTGTTAAGGGAAAATTGACAGCAAATCGCTACATGAATCAAATTCTTCATTGACTGCCAGAGGTAGCTGTTTCAACAGGACAACGCTCCACCGCACACAGCTCGTGTCACGGTAGACTACCTTCATAATGCCAACATCATCGCCTTGCCCTGGCCGTTAAGATCTCCAGATCTCTAACCAATCGAACACCTCTGGAATGAACTCGATCGACGTGTACGTCAACGTCAAAGTCACTCCCACAACTGGCCAACGCGAATGCAGAATGGCGCAGAATTCCGCAGGACAGAATTCATACACTTATCCAGTCCGTGCCGAGGAGATGCAGAGCCGTGATTGCTGCCCGGGGCGGTCACACGAGTTGTGTGGCCCTATGTGACATGACAATGAACAGTTTTCAATGCCTTTGTACAACGACAACATGTGACTATCGAGCTCCAAAATTTCATGTTTGTATCTATGATATTAAGTCAAATATATCGACTTTATTATGTACAATAAATATACTAAAAATCTACCTGTGCGTTTCTTTTTTGTTTGAAGTGTGTTGTTATTGCTTGACCTTTTAAAGTTACACGATGTTCTGATTTGCAGCAGTAAAACACCTATCAACATGTGTTCAAATATTTTAATGTGACACTTTCAGTGTTTAATGAACTTGTTGTTTTATGAAAATACACGTCTTCAACATCAAATGAAGCTGTGACTTAACTCATACGACGGTTCACTGCTCTGCTTTTTTAAACATTGTCAAGGTAACAACATATCAGAAACAACTGCATCGTGATCTATGTCCACTGTGTGTTTTATCTCGGCGTATTTGTGTGAAAGCGAGATATGTTTTCATAATACGCGATTTATCAAATACAATTGTCAGGTATGTTGCATAAGAAAATAGAGACGATCATGCGATAGGGTCTAAACTGTATGCCAGTGTTCAGACAGGGTCTAGACTGTATGCCAGTGTTCAGACAGGGTCTAAACTGTATGCCAGTGTTCAGACAGGGTCTAGACTGTATGCCAGTGTTCAGACAGGGTCTAAACTGTATGCCAGTGTTCAGACAGGGTCTAAACTGTATGCCAGTGTTCAGACAGGGTCTAGAATGTATGGTGTCAGGCTGGGTCTAGACTGTTTGTCAGTGTTCCGACAGGGTCTAGGCTGTATGGTGTCAGGCTGGGTCTAGACTTTATGGTGTTCAGACAGGGTCTAGACTGAAGGTCAGTGTTCAGACAGGGTCTAAACTGTATGCCAGTGTTCAGACAGGGTCTAGACTGTATGCCAGTGTTCAGACAGGGTCTAAACTGTATGCCAGTGTTCAGACAGGGTCTAAACGGTATGCCAGTGTTCAGACAGGGTCTAAACTGTATGCCAGTGTTCAGACAGGGTCTAAACTGTATGCCAGTGTTCAGACAGGGTCTAAACTGTATGCCAGTGTTCAGACAGGGTCTAGACTGTATGGTGTCAGGCTGGGTCTAGACTGTTTGTCAGTGTTCCGACAGGGTCTAGGCTGTATGGTGTCAGGCTGGGTCTAGACTTTATGGTGTTCCGACAGGGTCTAGACTGAAGGTCAGTGTTCAGACAGGGTCTAGACTGTATGGTGTCAGACTTGGTCTAGACTGTATGGTGTCAAATAGGGTCTAGACTGTTTGTTAGTGTTCCGACAGGGTCTAGGCTGTATGGTGTCAGACTGGGTCTAGGCTGTATGGTGTCAAATAGGGTCTAGACTGTATGTCAGTGTTCAGACAGGGTCTAGACTGTATGGTGTCAAACTTGGTCTAGACTGTATGGTGTGAGACAGGGTCCAGACTGTATGTCAGTTTTCAGACAGGGTCTAGGCTGTATGGTGTCAGACAGTGTCCAGCCTTTATGGTGTCAGACTGGGTCTAGACTGTATGGTGTCAAATAGGGTCTAGACTGTTTGTCAGTGTTCCGACAGGGTCTAGGCTGTATGGTGTCAGGCTGGGTCTAGACTTTATGGTGTTCAGACAGGGTCTAGACTGAATGTCAGTGTTCAGACAGGGTCTAGGCTGTATGGTGTGAGACTGGGTCCAGACTATATGTAAGTGTTCAGACAGGGTCTAGGCTGTATGGTGTCAGACTGGGTCTAGGCTTTATAGTGTCAAAAAGGGTCTAGACTGTATGTCAGTGTTCAGACAGGGTCTAGACTGTATGGTGTCAGACTGGGTCTAGACTGTATGTCAGAGTTCAGACAGTGTCTAGACTTTATTGTGTCAGACATGGTCTAGACTGTATGGTGTCAGACAGGGTCTAGACTGTATGGTGTGAAACAGTGCCAAGACTGTATGGTTTGAGACTGGGTCTAGACTGTATAGTGTCAGTCTGGGTCTAGACTTTGTGGTTTGACTGTATGTCAGTGTTCAGACAGGGTCTAGACTGTATGGTGTGAGACTGGGTCTAGACTGTATGGTGTCAGACAGGGTCTAGACTGTATGGTGTGAGACTGGGTCTAGACTGTATGGTGTGAGACTGGGTCTAGACTGTATGTCAGTGTTCAGACAGGGTCTAGACTGTATGGTGTCAGACAGGTTTAAGACTGTATGGTGTCAGACAGGGTCTAGACTGTATGTCAGTGTTCAGACAGGGTCTAGACTGTATGGTGTCAGACAGTGTCTAGACTTTATGGTGTCAGACAGGGTGTAGACTTTATGGTGTCAGACTGGGTCTAGACTGTATGGTGTGAAACAGTGCCAAGACTGTATGGTTTGAGACTGGGTCTAGACTGTATAGTGTCAGACAGGGTCTAGACTGTATGGTGTGAAACAGTGCCAAGACTGTGTGGTGTGAGACAGGGTCTAGTTTGTATGTAAGTGTTCAGACAGTGTCTAGGCTTAATGGTGTCAGACAGGGTCTAGACTTTGTGGTGTGAGTGTATGTCAGTGTTTAGACAGGGTCTAGATTGTATGGTGTGAGACTGGGTCTAGACTGTATGCCAGTGTTCAAACAGGGTCTAGATTGTATGGTGTCAGACAAGTTTAAGACTGTATGGTGTCAGACAGGGTCTAGACTGTATGGTGCCAGATAAGTTTAAGACTGTATGGTGTCAGACAGGGTCTAGACTGTATGTCAGTGTTCAGACAGGTTCTTGGCTGTATTGTGTCAGACAGTGTCTAGACTTTATTGTGTCAGACAGGGTGTAGACTGTATGGTCTCAGACTGGGTCCAGACTGTATGTCAGTGTTTAGACAGGTTCTAGACTGTATGGTGTCAGACAGTGTCTAGACTGTATGGTGTGAGACTGGGTCTTGACTGTATGGTGTGAGACTGGGTCTAGACTGTGTGGTGTGAGACTGGGTCTAGACTGTGTGGTGTGAGACTGGGTCTAGACTGTATGGTGTGAGACTGGGTCTAGACTGTGTGGTGTGAGACTGGGTCTAGACTGTGTGGTGTGAGACAGGGTTTAGACTGTATGTCAGTGTTCAGACAATGTCTCGACTTTATGGTGTCAGACAGGGTCTAGACTGTATGGTGTCAGACTGGGTCTAGACTGTATGGTGTCAGACTGGGTCTAGCCTGTATTGTGTCAGACAGGGTCTAGACTGTATGGTGTCAGACAGGGTCTTGACTGTATGGTGTCAGACTGGGTCTAGACTGTGTGGTGTCAGACAGGGTCTAGACTGTGATGTCAATGTTCAGACAGGGTCTAGACGGTATGGGATGAGACAGGGTCTAGACTGTATGGTGTGAGACAGGTTCTAGACTGTATGGTGTCAGACAGGGTCTAGACTGTATGGTGTCAGACAGGGTCTAGACTGTATGGTGTCAGACAGTGTCTAGACTGTATGGTGTCAGACAGGGTCTAGACTGTATGGTGTCAGACAGGGTCAATGTTCAGATATGCACTCTATGGTGTCAGTCGAGTGTCCCCTGGTGGCACGCACTAGTTTGACGAGGCACGGACGGATGGACACCGAGTCGGGTGTGTGGTAGGCTTTAGTGACGACAACGGAGCCGAGTATGGAGAGACTTCTGAAGACGAGGGAGGATTGAGATGTAGATGAGAAGGAGGGATGGGTCCTCGGAGGAGTTGGGAATGAGAGAACTGATGTAACTTAGAAACACAGCTGGAGCCAGGAGCCCTGTCACCGACACCGACAGCTTCTCACCTGTGCTCGGGGGAATTATGAAGACGAGGACGTTGAGGAAGGAGATGACGTTAATGGGGATAATGATGTTCAGCATGGAGAACAACGGCATACGTCCCAAGATCAAGGGAAGGCGGAGTCTTTGTCGCACGACTTCCGATGTATGACTTGCAATACGTTTGTCATATTTAGCCGACACGAGATCCCATTCTCCATGCTTGAGTTTCACTGATAGAGGATTGCGATCGTTGTGGTCAAAAGTTAGATCGAATTCGTCAGTCGGGTAGTTTCTTGGTAGAAAATCCAGATGACAAACCTGAACGTCGAAAGGGAACTTAGAAATACTTACGGGACAGAAACTCACTCTCAGATGCCCCGTAGAATCAACGCTGCAGGAAAACCCAGATTCTATGTCTGTTGTCTGGTCGTTTGGCAAGCCATCTACGAGGTACAATTTTGGCAACCAAACTTCGTTTGCATTCGCATGAAGTCGGGAAATCCCGCCATATTCTGATGCGTTCCATACAAGGAAATTGTCTCTCCACTCCACACTGAGAGTAGCAAGTAGAGAGATTTGCTGTAGAACCTCCTCCAGGTCGAGAATGTGCCTCGTCTTTACTGACAGTTTAGCTACAACAATCTCTGACTGATTAAAGACAGGTCTTGTTCTATCACTGTAGTGAGCAAACATATCTCTCAGAAGACGGGAATGATTCGAAGCAGATGACCCACAGATCGCTAATTGCACCAAAAAAGTCAGAAAAGCTAAAAGTACAATTAATATTCATCTATGTGTTACTAAGACCAACGTTGGCAATAATTACTACGTACGATGGCAGCAATGTTCTACTCGATATAGTTAATGTTGTGCTTTACCCTAAAGAAAGTTCAATCATGAAGCAATCACCGTCTTTTGTAATATAGTTAATGGTTTTATTGACCTGACAAGACCTGTTTCATCAGCTGGATTGTGACGCCGCCAGTTTGTGCTGGTTTCTACTGTCAGTGAGCGTTACAGTGTACACATAAACTCTCAATACAGACACACATATATATTAGTGTGCATTACTGAACAAAGGGAACGTTATTAAAACTGTAGAGGGGTTTTGTCTCGCCAGAAGATCAACCAACTGACGTGAATGTTGTGAGAAGATGGAGAGCAAGCCGAGCGTTATCTGCACCATCTATCATCTTCGTGTGGAAGTCAGAGTACAGTTACAGAGGTGGAGGGAGTATGGGGAATGGCGGTTGGGTGGGGATTAATCGAGTTAGGAACAACAAGTTAAATGGATTAGCTATTAGGATATAACACCTTTGAATGCCCGCTCTAAACCTATTTACAATAATTCATTTACAGAGGCAAATTGTTTATATTATCAGCATGAGAAATATCCGCGCATTATTAGACGTAGTATCGATTTCAAACGTGTCACAAACAGTGTTTGTCAAGGTTGTGAGCATGACTTGCATCTGTTAATGAAATAGAACACATGAAATAAATAAATAAAAAGAGTTCTCACATCCCAATCCAAAATGAATCAGAATTCACTTTGTACTTGATTGTAAATGTGATTTGGGGCAGTATTAAAAATGTTTTTTTCATCTTTGATTTAAAACACCATTTTTCAACAGTTTGTAGGATTGATCGCCTACACCTGACTCATCAACTAGACATGCGTCACGATGGAGTGACAATGTCACGCTACATGTGACAGGGGTATATCATAGATAAAGCTTGCAGTGACTAAAATGTTGACTGGGAAATATTTTCCTTTAAGATGTTCAAGACCCGCGATGTGGGGGACAATGAGTAGTATAGGTAATGGGGGTTCTGCCGCAACCCCGCTAGAGCCAGATTTATATACCTATACCGCTACTACAGGGGGAATTTTTTATGTGTAAATAATCATGCGATTCAACGATAGTCATGAGATTAAACTAAACTGACTCTAGCTCACCACCACCTGGAGCCAATCAATGCTTCTATTAGTATAAAAATGATGATGTGATTCAGCGAAAGTCGTTTTAAAAGAAATATCAATATTAATTAATAATGAATAAAATTTACTATAGCCCACGAGGATATTGGAAAGGTGTAGGAGCAATAAAAACATTAGCCACCGCGGCTAAGGTATCTAAAGATGTAGCCAAGGATTGGTTAAAGAAACAAGCGATGTGGCAAATATATTTACCAGCACCGCATTATATACCGAGGAAGAAGTTTGATATATTTACAACGAATGAAGTTCATCAGGCTGACCTCTTGTTTCTTCCCCGCGATAAGGTAAGACGCAAAACGTATAAATACGCTTTAACGGTAGTGGATGTTGCTAGTCGATACAAAGAGGCTGAACCTTTAACCTCGAAAGGTTCAACAGAAGTAGCTAATGCACTGAGCCGCATATATAAAAGCAGACCGCTAAAATGGCCTAAGCTATTTCAAGTAGATCCCGGTCGCGAGTTTATGGGATCGATAACTAAACTGTTAACAAAGCACGATGTCGAAATCAGGCGTGGTGAAAAAGAGGCCCACCGTAGTCAAGCTATCGTCGAAAGATTTAACAGGACATTAGCGGAACGTTTGTTTGGCTATCAGTATGGGATCGAAATGAAATCCGAGCGATTGAGATCAACCGAATGGGTGACACGATTATCAGCCGTTGTATCAGCTCTGAATAATGAAGTAACGAGATTAATAGGGAAGAAACCATCCGATGCTACTAAAATGAAATCCGTGACTTCCGAATCTTCAGCACCGAGAAGAGGCAAAGAACGAAAACTTCCGGATAGAGTAAGGGTAAGATATTTATACCAGCCCGGTGAACTCGAAGGAGGCCTACGTCGCGCAATCAATCCCATATGGTCCCTTAAGACATATAACATTAGTCGATTGGTTACGAAAGAAGGAGAGCCTATTCTTTATTATCTTCAAGATGGACCGGGTAGGGCATTGTACGAGAAGAGTTGTTCATAGTTCCCAACGGTACGGTATTACCACCATGACCATAAGCATAGGTAGTTACACCATCATTATCAATCCATCTCTTTGTATCTAAGGGGGATAATGATGTCTTGTTCATTCTTAATCCATATATCCTATGATTGTAACTTCTTAAAGAGTTCATCTCGTGTTTGAACGTTCTACCGTTGAATAATGATTCTTTATACTGTTCGTGTTTGATATGCTTTTTTACAACATACTTCTTAACGCCCTTAGCTTTTCTTATCTCTCCATTATCGGACTTCTTTATAGAATAAATCTTAGATCTTAATCCTACATACTCCGCTATAAGAGTCCCAGCACATTCATCCTTCATCTTACCTAACACCTGTTTATTTAGTACGCTGTGCAGTGGATTATCTTTTGGGTAATCGCTCGTGTCGTACATATCTATTTTTTCTGCCATATCTTTATACACATCCTCGGTTTGTATTTCCATCAACAAAGAATCTGTGTCGGTATATAACACCTCACAACTATCGCCGTATTGCTTCTTAAGTTCGTTGTAATAAAAGTCATACATTAAGTGTTTTGACAAGTCGAGAATACTCATACTGACGTACACCGGTCTGTTATTTTATATAATTTTATATTACTTTTCTGCATATGCAACGCAGCTAAGTCGTTATCGAATATCTTGCTTCTGTTAAAAGCCGGACTGGCTATAAGTTTCCTGAGTCTTTCTTCCTCATTAGATCTGACTAATTTAACATCAACACGCTTCCTTAGATTCTCCATAGTTTTACCAAATACTGAGTTATTCATGAGCTTATACAGATTCTTTTCGAAATCGCTGGTAGCTATCTTTCTTAAATCTGTGTTCAACCTTACATAGGGCTCCATCCAAGGACTTTGATCAAACTTTAGAACTCTGTGTATTTTCTTAAGTTTCATACCTAACGATAGATATAACTGGAGATTTCTGTAGTGAACTATATATTTTGTTTTATCCATCAAATTTGGTACGAGTTTTTCTACGTTAGCTAACCTACTATTACCCATCAAGGAGCATTGATATTCCGACATCCAATCTTTATTAACCATTAATCTTTCGGGAGCTAGGGGATAACTGTTATGATCTTTATGTAACGAACTTGGATATTCCAAGTCAACTTCTAGTATGTACCCTTTATTCGCATCATTCACATTGATATTATTCTCATCGATCCACTCAAAACCACCCGTGGGTAAAGGTTGACTCATAGCCCATCCGTACAAACTGTTAGCATCCAGATATAATATGTGCGTGTCGGGTTTGCTCGGATCGTATCCGTCCACTAATTTATTATTAGCCTTAGAATACCTTTTCGCTGCCATCGATATACCACCTCTTAATCCTTTCTCAATAAACAAGTGCATATCGTAATCTGTGAGTAGTTTTAGTTCTACGCCGGTCTTCTTCAACAATGCATCCCATGATAGTCCGGGACTGGAATAGCACCATGCCGGGTCCAAGCCGTATTGTTTTAAACATGTCTTTCTAAATATCTCGAATATATCGGCGAGTAACAGTCCATCGATTTTTAAGTACAGATCGTGATAATCACCTAAATTCTTACAACCTAATTTATCCCACACCGTCAGAGCGTGTTCATAATCAGCATCTGTTATTTTAGATTCTGTTAAGTTATTATTGAATGATTCAAGGGGTGGTAATTCAGTTTTTTCGAATCTAGACCAATCATCCATATATTCGTAAGGATATACACCTTTTCTCAGCAACAAATGACGAGTTATCTTATCGGTATATTTATTTGTTATCGCAAAATCATCGGGATTGTTCGCATTATCTAAATTGTCCAGGGAAGATAACAGAAACTGTACGGAGTCTGTGAATCTAAGCCCATTACTTTGCTTTATTCTAGATTTCCCATCCTTGTACCTATAATGTATATATTTAGTCAACGAGAACGATATGTATTTTTCCATATTATTGGGAATGCACGTTAAACCGCCGTCGGTCTTTGAGATAGCTTGCATGATGAGATGTGAATCGTATCCCCTAAGGTTATGAAACACAATGGGGATGGGTATTGTTTGAGAATTCATTTTTAGTTTCAAGTTACACTCGTTATGAGGCAATGATCTCTTACGGAATCCCCATTCAGGGGTTTGTTACAAACATGACAACTCGTTGACTTCTTATAGACCCTCCAATCATCCCTCGTCATACACATGGGTTTCCTACGCGATAATTTTTCCCTGATTATTCTCTCTTCGTTTTGTAGATATTCTAGGAACTTTCCCGCTGCATCGGGACCTCTGTAAATCACGGGCGTGTTTGTTTTCCCATCATACCTTACAACTATATAGCCAAACCCACAAGGAATATGTTCTTGAGTTTTGTACGTAAAACTATCTTGATTACTACGGTTGGTATATTCTATGGGTTTGATAAGCGCTTCGAAGTCGGCGTAAATTACGTATGGTACTGGCATTTGATTACAATAATGTTCAAATTTTAATATATCTTTTCCCTCTTTAGGCATATCGATCCTGATAGCGGTCTGTCCAACACCTCTGCAGTCTTCTTTATGCGCTTCTAATAGATCTTGTCTGCTGTACCCATGCAGGCATCTTTCACAGAAATATTTCTTTTCCTTATGTTTTGTTTGATCGTATAATAGCCTGTTTAAACTCTTTATCCATGTATAATGATATTTACCATCTTTTTCGATCAGAAATGAATT